GAGCTAGAGAGAGGGAAAGAAAACGAGAAGAGGGATGCGCAAAGGGGGGGGAAGGAGGGTGGGAAGGGGAACAGGGAGGGAGACGAGGAGGCAGGAGGATTAGAGGAAACGGAAGGGAAGGGACGGGAAGGGAAAGGAGGGAGGAGGAGGATCGGGAGCGCGCGTAGACTCTGATGAGAGCGGGACAAGGAGAAGGAGAAGGAGGAGGAGGAGGAGGAGGAGGAGAAGGATGAGAAGGAGGAGGAATGAAAGCAAGGGAGAGTGGGATGGAGCGGGGGAACGGTACGAAGGAGGATGGAGCGGAGGGAGGAGGGGAGATGAGTGAGGAGGATGATGTTGAGAGCTGGAAAGGAATAGGATGCGTGGAGACGAGGAGGAGGGGACGGACAGGGCTAGCCGGGAGGAGTCAAGCTAGGCTCTAGGTGCGCTCGCGCCTCATCTGCTATCATATCTCTCCCTCCCATGCCTTCCCATTGCGCTGGTGTTTTCTCTGTCCGCGAACGCGTGTCATAGCAGACCTGCAACTCCAACCAGAAAGACCATATCGTGCTAGGTGCAATCTGACAAGAGGGGGCCTGCGTGCACAGAAGGAGGCGGTGGCGGGCCAGCAGGAGGATGAGAGGGAAGGAACACGACGAGGACGAACAGCAGCGGCAGGAGCTGGAGTGGAAGGATGCGGGGAAGGAGGCGGTGGCGGGCCAGCAGGAGGATGCGGCAGGAGCTGGAGTGGAAGGATCAGGGGAAGGCGAGGGGGGGGGGGGGGGGGGAAAACAGGGGGCGACAACAATGAACAACAACTCGGATCCAGAGAAGAGGCCCGCGCTGGGGCGAACGCGCCATTCTGAATGACGGGAACAAAGCGCCGAACCGAACATGCGAGCCAACGCTACAGCTGGAGCACGAATCTGGACGAACCAACAAATTAAACGAGGTCAGCGCTGCAGCGGGAGCATCCCTGGAAAGGGCCGAGAACGCGACGATGAAGCCAACGCTGCAGCGAGAACGCCATCCTGGAAGGACCGAAAACGTTCGGATTGGAACAACACAGATGATCGACCAACTGTTGGAGATCCACCGTGCAGAAAATGCGCAGAGGGGGGCGTTCTGCCCAGTTGGCGTCTTCAGGGGAGAGGGGAGCGTAGCATTATATACATGGGGAAGGGATGGAATAGTGAAGAGGAGGGAGGAGGGGAGACGAGGGAGGAGAGGAACGGTGAGAATTGGGCAAGAGGGAGATGATGAGCTTGCTGAGATTGGGTGCCTCCGCCAATTGCAAAGATGCGTATGTGTTAAAATCAAGACAGCATGCAACACACTCAGTTCACGAAGGCGATGGATGCGTCAATGCGTGTGCGTGTGTGTGTGTGTGTGCGTGTGTGTGTGTTTGTGTTTGTGTGTGTGTTTGTGTGTGTGTGTGTGTGTGTGTGTGTGTGTGTGTGTGTGTGTGTGTGTGTGTGTGTGTGTGTGTGTGTGTGTGTGTGTGTGTGTGTGTGTGTGTGTGTGTGTGTGGTGTGTGTGTGCGTGCGTGCGTGCGTGCGTGCGTGCGTGCGTGCGTGCGTGCGTGCGTGCGTGCGTGCGTGCGTGCGTGCGTGCGTGCGTGCGTGCGTGCGTGCGTGTGTGCGCGCGTGTGTTTGTGTGTGTGTCTGTGTGTGCGTGCGTGTGTGTGTGTGTGTGTGTGTGTGTGTGTGTGTGCATGGGGATCGCCTGACTGTGCCGCGGTGCCGCTCGAAAAGGGCGCGACGCCAAAACGTGCCTGCGGGCGCCAACAATGCTCTGCTCCCGCGGTAGGTTGCCTCAACAGTCACGGCACGTGTCGGCGCCGCCGTCCAATGCGGCTGAAAATGCGATCTGTGTGGGGGAGGGTCTTCCGCGAGGGGGCATTTCCCCATCCGTGGGAGGGCGAAGTATGCGATAGAACAGGACATGTTAGCGAGCCACCGTCCCACATGTTGGGGCCCCCGTGCCATCTGTACGTCACGACGGCGAATCCACGGGCGAGCTCGGCCGCGAGGTGGCCTCCCGCAGACAGGGTGCGAAGTATGCGTGCAGGTCTTCGGGCCTTGGGTCACGTTGCCTTGAGGAGCCCTGGGCGCTTTCTGTGAAGCCTGCTCTGCTGTGAACGCGCGCGCTTCTGCATGATTACCCCTTCATGCCTTTCCCCAACCAAACGGGCCACACGTGTTGAGCTCCCCCACACGGGTAACTCCTCAGGTCGGAGCGTTTAGAAATTTAGACAGCGCGCGCGACGGCGGACCTGGTACGTCTGCAGGCTTCACTGGGGCCGAAGTCGGGGCGAATGCGGACGAAGGCCCCCCCCCAAAGCGGTTGAAAGCCCCCCAAGAACGCGGATCAAAGCAGATCAAGTCCCACACTGGCCACAAGATGGCCACAAAAACAGCGCCAGGGTGGCCCCGAGATGGTCCAAGACAGCCCACTGGACAGGGATCTGGTCCGTTCGACGTGCAGCACTGGCTCGATCAGCTCTGCACGTCGACTGCTGGGCGCATGGCCGCCATGGGTGTGCCATCCCCAGGCGCGGCTCACGATGTAGGGAGATGACGGGGGGGCGCACGCAGAACACGATGAGTGTACTGCTCCGTGTCCCTCGGGGTAGATGACTGCTTGGGCGCCCGAAAGGGATGCGGAACGCCGAGCAGCAGAGGCTGCCCAAAGCCGACCGCGGACGCTGGTAGGCAGGCGGCGCCTCCTGCCTCAAACGGACAGCGTCCGCGGCGACACCGACAACGAGCCCTGTTCAAAATAAACGGGACATGCGGTCGGTCTGTGTAGCCAGCCTTTCCGTACTCAGTTCGATGGCGGGCCCCCGCGTGCGAGACTGACCACCAACCAGGCCACCCAAACCCGACCCGAAGACCCGAATTTTGGGTTGGGGGGGTAAGTACGGGTTCCGTGTGTGTGTGTGTGTTTTGTCCATGTTCCCCGACGCCCACCCCCCTGGGAAAAGGGGGCCAGACTGGGGCGTTGGGGTGGTGTCGGGCTGGGCTGGGGTGGTTTGGCAGTGGCAGGTGGTGCGAGGCCGGGTCTGCTGTCAGACCGGCCTCCACTGGGGTGGTTTCGGGGCTGGGGTGGTTTGGCAGTGGCAGGCGGTGCGAGGCCAGGTCTGCTGTCAGGCCAGCCTCCAGTCGCGGGGTGAGCGCGGCCGCGGGCCTGCCGCACCCCGCTCGCTCTTGGGGGGGGGGGGTATGCGAGCCGCGAGCAGCCGCCCGTCGTCCTGCTGCCTCCAGCAGCACGGCCGTGCGCTCTGGGGGAGCGCCAGCGTCCTGATGTGATGGTCGGCCTTGCACTTGCCGTTGCTTGCGCTCTTGCTCTCGCTCTCGCTCTCTGCCTGTTACTGTGTGTGTGTGTGTCTCTCTCTCTCTCTCTCTCTCTCTCTCTCTCTCTCTCTCTCTCTGGTTCAATATATATATATAGAGAGAGAGATAGGTCGATCTCTCCCTCCCTCTCGCTGGAAATGCAAGTGCACATATAATGTAAACATGACTGTCTGTACATTATATGCATGTAAACACGTAGACATCCCCCACCCTGAGCCTATACTATGTTCATGCATCTATGTCTATAGTCATACACAAATATACACATACGTATACACCTCCCTCTCTCTCTCTCTCTTTCTCGCTCCATCTCGCCCTCTCTCATTATTTGTGTGGTCCGTGGTTTTATTGTGGTTTGTGTTTATATGTCTCTCTCTCTCTCTCTTTCTCTCTCTCTGTCTCTCTCTCTTTCGTTTCTCTCTCTCTCTCTCTCCCTGTATATATATATACATCACATAATTATGAGTACACAAATAGACATGTGTTTATTATATACATACATGTACTGTTCGATACCTCTCGCGCTCATGCTCAACTTGCGCCTGCGTGGGCGATGCGAACTCATCATGTCGCCAGTGGCGTCACAACGGGAGGAGAACTCGGGGAGGCGGGGCACGAAAAGGGGCGCCCGTTGGGACGGCGGCGGCCCTCCCGCCCGGCCCAGCTCCGCCCGGAATCAGTCCCCAGACACCTCGTTCGGTCCGTCCTGGCCTGACCGTGGACTGGGCGCTCATAAAAAGAGAACCCTTTGAGACTCTGCCTGTCGGTGGCTTCAGTTCGGCGGCCACCCCTGGCGTTAGGTCGGGCATGTCCTCCTACAGGTGGACTTCAGAAGAAAATGGAAACAAGTTATGTAAAACTATTGGTAGCCAGCATGGACCCCAAACAAGAAGGTCTTGCAGTCTATGCGGTGGAATATATGTGGAGGCATGTATGCGGTGAAACCTATGTAATGCAATCTATGCATTGCAATCGATGTGGTGCACTCAACGTGGTGCAATATATGTAGTGCAAGCTATGTGGTGCAGTCTATATGGTACGAGCTATGTGGTGCAATCTATGTGCGCGGAGACGAGGCGACGACGGAGCGGCGACGAAGCAGCGACGGGGCGGCGACGGGCGGCATCGCCCAGAAAAGCCGGGACCGGGGCCCAAACGACGGGCGGAGACGAGGCTGCGACGGGGCGGCGACGGGCGGCAGCGCCCGGCAGCGCCCGGAAAAGCCGGGATTGGTCCCCAGATGGTTAAGACAAGCAAGAACTCCTAAGTGCAACCACTGTTTTGGGAAAAACAAAAATGGTCTAAACAGCACTGAAAATCGTCCACTGACAATTTTCTTACTATTCTTGAATATTCCTCCTGTAGAGGGACACGCCCGACTAGAATCTGGCGCTGGAGGATGAGACGGAGGAGACGGAGGAGCGGGAACAGGGTCGGTGGTTCAGGGACGGGGTGCTGAGGGATGGGGACCAGAAGGACCGGAATGGATCCAAGGGCGGATCCACGCTGTTCGAGGCACCCCGTCCTCAGGACCCCACCCCTCAGGACCCCCTGCTTGAACCTCTGGCAGCGGGGGAGCCGCGAATCCGAGAGAGCGGGGCCAAGACGAGGGCCCCCCCCCCGGCCGGCAAAAGGGCAGCCACGGGGGGGGGGGGGGGGCGGCGCCTCTGGCGGTTCTCCTGCTGCCGAGACGGGTCCACGCGCAGCTCGAGCACGACGCGGTGGTACAGGCCGTCGCCAAACAGGGCTGGGGAGGGGGGGGGGGGTGCACGCGCAGCTCGAGCACGACGCGGTGGTGCAGGCCGTCGCCAAACAGGGCTGGAGAGGCGGGGGGGGGGGCAGAGGCAGAACAAACAACAGCGCAGGCGTAAACTTGCCCTCGCGCGCTCCGCGCGCCAGGGAGGGGGTTCCAGCGCCAAAGATCCGCGCGGACATCTGAAACCTTCTTGAAAGGAGGGGGAGGAGAAGAAAGAGGCGGGAAGACTCATGTAAGCCGCTATACGCGATTGGGCGCCAAAACCCAAGTGGATATTCCATGCTGCTCGTGGGTACCCTTTCCGGGCCACTGTGATGTAGCATGATATGTGTGAAAGTCTCCTGCTGCTACACCCTCCCTCAGGGCGTGTCCACGGACATGGTGAGATATGCCCTTGGCGCGCGAAAGCTTTCGAGTGTAGAGGGCGTGGGGTCCCTGACGCTCTCTGGGAGGCCAAGAGGATCGAACTTCGAGGTCCGAGTTTCGGCATTGTGTTGCCTCCGCTTCCCATGTATAGGGCCTCTGGTGAACCTCTCGTCGCATCGGCTGGATGCACCTCGAAATGCTCATCAAACCCACGAAGGGGAAGCTGGGAAACGATTTCCTTCTGAGGGAGAGTAAGGGAGTACACAGATACATTGTCCCCCGCGTCGTGTAAGACATCAGGGCCCAAGGCTGTCAAAACAAACACTCGGGATGAGAAAACCATGTCCCTGGGAATGGGGTCGAGACCTCTGGCGGTCCACGTTGCGGGAAAACGCGACATCGGTGGCGGGGCTCTAGGGACTGATGGGGGGACGAGGAAGGGGACGACGAGGGAAGGGGAGGATGAGGAAGGGAGGAGCGCGGGAGAAGGGAAGCACGGGGAATCTCACCAGCCTCCTGAGGGTGATTCAACGGTCTGTTTTTCCAAACCTCTTCTTCCTTTTCCGCGAGGAGGTTACCCCTACTCTCTATTGGATCACACCAACTCGACCCTATAACTAGTTTCGCAGTGGAGGTTGAAGCGGATGGCGGAGGGAACGCATTTGCCCGAAGTGCTCGCCAGCCATCCTGATTGCGGGCGCACACACCATTCATTCATCAGACTGGCATCCCGCCACCACGTTGAACGCACTTCCTTGACAGGGATAGCGAGTGTGGATTATTTCTCGATGTCTGCTGTCACGTGCGCTGGCGCACCTGGTGCACTCAGCGCTGGCCGCGCACGTGGTACACCTGGCGCGGCTGGAGCATGTGGCACACTCGGCGCACGTGGAGCATATCGCGCATTTGGCGCACGAGGCGTGCTTAGGCCAATTCGCGTCGCGAACCTCGCACGCCTGGCGAACCTTACGAGTGTCGTGCACCTGGCGTCCCTATGGGTCCCAAGTGTTGTCTATCCGATAGCGATCTCTGCCAATGCTGGGTCTAAGGTGCTACAATATTGAAGTGGTGGGAGGGCGGGTTGGAGTGAGCAAGACAGTTTGTGGCGTTCCCGTTGTGAACTTCACCCTGCCTCCTACCCCCTCCTGTAGGTCTGGACCCAGGGGGGGGACATGATATGGTAGAGGATCCGCCTGGGCCCAAGATAGCTCCAGATGCTCCAAGCATGGCCCCCCCAAGATGTCGCAACATTTTCTTAATCGACCGGGATGGCGTCAGACAGACCTCCACTCGACTACGTCATGCCTCGAAGGCGGCCTCCCAGGACCACGAAAAGCCTACCAACGACGCTGAAAGGCCCAAGACGTTCAAAAATCTTCGGTTCCCCATGTAAGCTTGAGCTTCGCACAGCTTCGCTTCTCGTGAGCTCCCGAAAGCCCACGGAGGCCCCAAGAGAGCCCAACAGACCGTGCGAAAGGCCCCGATGGGGCCCCGAGGGAGCCGGCGGGCCCCGCGAGCGACCCCACTCGGCCTCGGACTCGGCTCCGCGCGCGTGGCGCCGGGAGGGCGCCGCGAGGAGGGCGCCGAGGCGCGTGCCTGGAAGAAACCTGCCACGTTCTCTGGTCGAAAAAACAAAGCAAGAGGAAAAGCAAAGGGAAGGCTCCGAGGAAGAGCAAGAGGAATTGGAGGAGGAGGAGGGGCGGGCTGGGGCACAAGAGGCCCAAAGGAGGAGGACGGGGCGGAGGAAACTAGCGCGCCCAGGAGGCTCGATCCCGCGGCTAGAGAGCACGCGCGGCGGCGGGTGCGCCTCGGGCGGCGAAGTCGCGCCAGGAGGAGGAGGAGGGAGAAGGACGGGCGCAGGCGATCCAACAGGCCACCCAAGAGGCAGTGTGTTGGAACTCCACCGGCAGGCTAGAGGCCTGCCCTCTTTGGTTAAGCAGGTGGCCGGGGCGGGAAGGGATGGAGCCACATCCGCTCAAGATCGGCCCCCGGACCCCTGCCAGTGCCTCCCTGGGTCCACCTGGTGCGGCTTTCCACCTAGATCCGTCCTGGGCGGTCCCTGGGCCCGACCGCGGCCCTGGGGGGTCGAACGAAAAAAAATGGTCGAACCCAGAACCTCGAACCTCTTCCGCCCTTCCTGGTCGCCGGAACCACTGCTGGGCAACTTCGGACCCCCAGCCGACTCCAAGGTCGAACGTTATGCCCGTGGGCCGCTGTCCGAGGTTCACGCCCGAGTGCGGCCCCGTGCCCCCCGCCCGCAACGCGACGCAGGGCAACATCGGCACCTCAGAACGCCCGCGAAACGTATTGATTCGAACACATGAGTATTGCGGGCGCCACATGCGTGTGCGCACAAGTCCCTGGACCCCAGCAAGCTCCACTGAGGACAGCACAACCCCCCACCCCCAGCCCCAGCCAGGACCCCCACTCCCGACCTGGTGATCCAGGGGGTCCTGGCTGGGGGTGAGGGTGGTTTTTCGCCCCACAAGAATCCTCCAAGAACCACACCCACCGCCATGCCAGCCAGGGCCCCCTGGATTACCAAGTCGGGAATGACTCCGTGGCAGGAGGTAGGGGTGGGTTGTGCTGCTCTCATACATGCGTGTGCGCACCGGTCGGTCCCCCGTCATCGGACCTCTCGGACCCTAGCCGGCTCCAAAGCCCTCTGCTGGGGAGCCCACAAAGGACGTACGCGCCAAACCACGCACATGAACACGGCCACTCAATCCGCGAGACCAGCCTCGCGATGCGAACTCTCGCGCAAAGCGTAGTCTCGAAACCGACGCGGATTCTTGTACGTGTTGATCTGCTTCCCCAGCCCAGACATCCGGCTGCTCCGATCTTTTCGATGCATGGGCCCTGAGGGTCCGGACCACTTCCCTGGGGCCGGCTTTTCGTCCTGAGTCGCTGTTCGACGCTCCCGAGGCCTGGCGAAGGCCCCCAGAGGCCGAAAACGACAACAAAAACGCCCGCTCCAATCTTTGTCGGAGCGTCGGATCTCCAGTGCCAGGGCGGGGCCTCCCCCTGCGGCTGGCCCTGCCGCCTCCGCGCCGCCCTCGCGCGCGGGCGCCGCCCCCGCGCCGCGCCCTCGCGCTGCGGCCCGCGCCCGCCGCGGGAGCGAGGCGCGCCGCTCCGCTCGAAGGGTCGCGCCGAGTCCGCCTCGACGGATGAGCAGCAGATGTGCCCCTAAACTCTGTGGGAGGGGGCCCTAAGTTCGAGCCTGTCTTTCTATTATTCGCGGTCACGGGTGCGATCGGGGAAGGGGGGGGAGTTCGTCCCCCCCGATCACAGCACGGCGGGGGGGGCCGCCAGAGACCTCGAGAATCCTCGAAGGATCCGCAAATAATCTTTGCAAATGTGGGCAAAGTAGCGTGACGTGATCCGGGGAGGAGGGAGGGCGAGGGCCGATCACGGCCGTTATCGCCCAGACGTAAAAAAATGCTCTTAGGAGGGCCAGAAACATTAAGAAGAAGTTGAAGGAGGTCCTTTTTGCAGATGTGTCCGACGAAACCGCCCACATGCTAAGGCTTCGGGGTACCCCTGAAAACCACGAGCCTAAGTTAGGCCACGAATTCAGTGTGTCATTAGGGTTAGGGGTTGTATGATTCTGCTTGATGATCGAAGACCACGAGGCACCTCACCGCACCCCCCCGGGGTCGGGAACTTTTGCTGAGTCGACTACACCCAGGAGTGACCCTCGGCAAGTGTGACCTTTGGTGCGCGGCTTCAGGGTGCAGCAGGTAAGCCAGATCAAAGCGCGCCGGCCAGTGCTGGGGGGCCCATTGGGCCAGCACCAAAGGGCAGTCCGCCGAAAGGTCACTCTCACGCGAAGCCGACTCAGCGTGTCGCGGCGGCGGCCCCGGCGACACGCTGTGCCTTGCGAGCGTGCGAGCGGATAGCGAGTCGCTCCTAACCGCGGGGCGGGAGGCTGGAAGAAGCTCGGCACGTGGACGCCTGGGGACCGCGAAGTGGACGGCACGTCGAACCGAGGCGTGGTGGGCCCAAACCGGTGGAGCGACACGCTAACCAAAAGTTCCCGACTGTAGACACGCAAGACGCACATGAACTGCCAAACAACTGGTAGCAGGACCCTGCGTGCCTCCAGACGCCAGCGCAGGATACCCGACGACGTTCGCCCGCCCAGGGCGGGCATCGCCAGGACACCGCGCGCGATGCGCCCACACCGAGCGGAGAGCGACGAAGGCGACGATGTCGACCATGAAGACGACGAAGACGACGACGACGACGCCGCCGACAACGACGACGGCGGCGACGATAGAGCCGACGACGACGATGCAGACAACGACGACGACGGCGGCGGCGACGAAGCCGAAGACGGAGACGACCACGAAGACGACGACGACGGCGGCGAGCAAAGCGGCAAAGCGCGATCAGGGGCGAACCCCCCCCCCAGAGGGCGGCGGGCGGCGCTGGCCGTGGGCGCGCGCGTACTCGCGGGCCGTGGAGAAGTTCGGGGAGCAGAACACGCCTCCGGCGGGGCGGGGGGGGGGGCCCCGCGGGGGCCCCCGCGCGGGGGAACGCCCCCCGTGCGGGAGAGAGAGGGCCCTGGGCCCTGGGCGCCTGCGGCGAGGGCGCCCCGGGCGGTGTAGCACGGCGAGCGAGGAGCGGCGGCGATGCAGCCAGCTAGTATCATCATGAGAAGGCGCCGTAAGGATGCAAGGGCCTTGGGCGGGCATGTTGGCGTTGTTCGAACGAGGCTGGCCGACGAGAGTGGCCAAAAACGGACCGAGTGGGCAAGGATGCAAGGGTACTCCTTGGAAGGTTGCCCATCCTCACCATGCGGGTTGACCGTAGGCGCGCGCGCGCATGTGTGCACACACACGCTTGGGGCGGCGCGGCCAAGCGCCGCGCGCAGCGACGCGGCGGAGGCGGTCGGAGAGACGGGCACCACCAGCCCACACAATTTGTTGTCCTCTAGCGGCGAGGTGGCGACACCGTCGCGGGGAGCCTAGCCGGGGCCGCGCCGCGCTGGGCGAAGTCCCAGCCACCCCGGCGTGGCAGGTGGCCGGCCTGGATGGGGACAGGCAGCTTTGCGGGAGAGGCGGGGGCGCGAATTGGCGCGCGGGAGGCGCCGTCGCGGCCGTGCACGCGCAGGAGGTGGCCGAGCACAACCAGGCGGGCTGAGCTTGTACGCGCACGCACACACACACACACACACACACACACACACGCACACACACACACGCTTTTTTTACCATCCAGCGGAGCCCTGTGGCAGAGAGGCACGAGGGAGAGGGAGGGAGGGAGCAGGGGGGCGGCTCGCAGCCCGGCCGCGTGCACCTAATTAGTCTGGCGCCCTGGGGCGGGCCTCCCGGCGAGCCTGGAGGGCGCACCGCCAAGCCGGCGAACGAGGCGGGGAACGAGGGGGCGAAGACATACTCGGCGGCGAACGAGGGGGGGACGTGAGAAGGAGAAGGCCTTCTCAGAAGGCTCAGAACACTTCTCAGAAGGCGCGAGGGCTCCTGAAAGGTCCCGCCGCCTTCTGAGAAGGCCTTCTCCTTCTCACTTCCCCCCCTCGCTTGCCGCCGACACAGACACACAGAGACACACGCACACACCCCCACACACGCACACACGCACACACGCAAACTTCTGCCACCGCGCTCACGAGGCGCAGCACAGAGCACACACATTCACACGTCCCCAAACCTCGATCCATGGATCCTGCCGCGCCACCGCCAGCGAGAAGCAAGGGCCTCGGCGGCGGCCCCCCTGTCGAGCGAGCCGGCGCCGCCGACAGCGCCGCCGACGGCGCCGACGACGACGAGGACGGAAGAGAATCGACGCGCTTGGACGGCTTGGCCCCTTTTGTCCAGGGGCCTCCTCCTGGGACCTTTGGTGGCGCGCACGGCCCTCGGAGAAGGCCGGGGGGGGCTTCTCAGACGGCGAGGCCCAAGACAACAAGCACCACCGGAGCAGATCGAATGCCTGCTATTGTTGCTCCACGATGTTGGCAAGAAGGGCCCTTCCAGGAAGGCCCGCGCCCGGCTCGAAGGCACCCCCTCCGAGACACCCGTCGTCGCGGTTCTCGCACCGCTAGAGGCCTCCCAGACGGGGTCGGAGTAGATGGGGTCGGAGGATCGTGTCGCATCGCCGGTACATCGCCGATGCATCGACGATGCATCCGCGATGCATCGGCGATGCACCGGCGATGCACCGGCGACGTCGGCGATGCATCGGCGACGTCGAGGTGAAGCAAATCGGGCTCTACATCGAGCCGCATCGCCGATGCATCGGCGATGCGGCGCGATCCTCCGATCCCATCTGCTCCGGCTCCATCAGGGAGGCCTAGGGCCCTCGAGGAGGAGGAGGAGGAGGAGGAGGAGGAGGAGGAGGAGGAGGAGTAGAAGAAGGAGAAGGAACAGGAGGAGGAGGAGGAGGAGGAGGAGGAGGAGGAGGAGGAGGAGGAGGAGGAGGACTAGGGGCAGGGCGGGCAGGGGCAGGGCGGGGCAGGGCGGGGCGCCGTGCCAACACCGCTCACGCCGGACGGACCACCCGTGCGCATCGGTGGCGCGCCAGCGCTACGGGAGCCACGCCTGCTGCTGCGACAAGGGTCCGGGCTTCGGTCGCAGGCACAACAGATGCCGCAACGCGCTGGCAGCGTGGTGCAAACGAGAGTGGGGAGAGGAAGAGGCACTCACCGAGCAAGCGTGCCCAAGATGGGATCGCGTGCGCGCAGACGGCACCATGGAGAGGGCAGTCCTCGACGTGGTGTTGCCGCACGACCCCGTCAGCTCCGGCCCCCTCGCCATCGACGTGAGCGTGGTCGAGGTCACCACACCAGACCTGGGCTTGGCAGCGGCCAGGTCTCGGCGCGACGGCCAAGCGGCCGCCGATCGGGAGCGAACGAAACACCAACGCTACCCGGGAGGCGGACTGCTGGCCGCTGCGCTCGAGACCGGCGGGCGATGGGGCTCGGAGTTCCGCCGCTGGGTCAAGGCTGCGGCGCCCGGAGGCCTCCGGGCGCGCGGAGGCGCTGGCCGACCTGCGCCAGAGCTTGGCCGCGGCCCTGCAGCGCGGGGTAGCCGCGCAGCTGCTCCCCGGCGCGGCCGGCCTCCCGCGCCCCTGGCACTAGGTCCGTGCGTGGCGTACCCCGCCTTCCCCTCTTTCCTCCGCCCGCCTGCTCCCCTCCCGCGCCCCCCCCCCTCTGCTCTCTGCGCTGCGTGCCTGCTTCCCCTCCTCCTCCTGTGTCCCTCGTCCCTCCCTCCTCGTGCTCTCCTGTCTCTCCTGGCTCCGCGGCCTCTCTCGCTCCTCTCGCCCGTCCCCCTCCTCTCTGTCTGGTCGTCCCTCGTCCCCGTCTGCTTGCCGGGGGGCGCGGTGCATAATTTTGTAGGGGTGGCAGTATTTAATTCCCGCCGCCGCGGGCCCTCGGTGCGGTGCTGCGGGACACGGCAGTTCTCCCCCCCGTCTCTCGCTTCTTGTCCGCTTGCCTCGTTCCCTTGCTCGCTTCTTGTCCGCTTGCCTCCTTTCTTTCAGTGCAGGAGGAGGAGGAGCAGGAGGAGTAGCAGGAGGAGGAGGGGGAGGAGCAGGAGGAGGGGCAGGAGGAGCAGGAGGGGGAGGAGGAGGAGGAGGAGCAGGAGGAGCAGGATGAGGAGCAGGAGGGAGGGGGGGGGGCTCCCCAAAGGCCTGGGCACCTCCCCCGCCCCGAGCCGGCCTCCCCCGCCCCGAGCCGAGGGATGCTGGACGGCCCCAGGGCCGCCTGGCAACGGCCCCCGGAGGTCGAGAACCGCCAGAGACACCTCCTGCTGTGCTTGTCCCCGACGCGTGGAGGGTCCAGCTTCCCGGGCGCGCCCGGAGGGGGAGGTGAGACGGGGGCAGGCCTTCTCGGCAGGCGGAGAGGCTTCTCAGAAGCCCCCTGCCTTCTGGGAAGCCGCCCATGTATTCGGAGACGGCTCGTGATACCTCTCAGGAGGCCTGAGGCCTTCCGAGCCTTCTGAGAAGGCCCGCCCCCATTGCCCCTCCCCCCCCCTGCCGCGGAGACAACTCTGGTCTGTGCTTCCCAGACCCCGTCGGGCGATGAACAACTCACGACGGAAGGCTGTTTGCTAGTTCGGCCTCTGGCAGCCCTTGCGTGGCCCTCGGGACCGTCGAGAAACGACTCTAGGCGAGCGCGCTCCACTACTCGCAAAGTGACCACTCGCAAATGGCCTGGATCCGCTGGGGGGGATCTACGAGAAATTACATCAAGTCAAACACATGTTTTTCGGGTGTTTGCGAGTAGGCACGTTGCGAGTAGTGGAACGCGCTCGGTAAGACTCAGCATGAAAAACCGCTCCAGGGGAATGGGTCGAGACCTCCACGGGTCGACGTGATGAAAAATCATGACGTCGGGGGTCTGGCTTCCGGGCCATCGCTCCAGCCTCCAGCGCCACGAAGGGAGCCCAAGGCCAGCAGCCCCATGAAGGAAACCCAACGCCGGCAGCAATGAGGGAGGCGGAGGAGGAGGAGGAGGCGGAGGCGGAAGAGGCGGGAAGGCGGAGGAGGAGGCAGAGGAGGCGGCGAGGAGGAGGAGGAGGAGGAGGAGGAGAAGGAGGAGGAGGAGGTTGAGGAGGAAAGAGGAGGATGCGAGAGGAGGAGTGCTTGTTCACGACGCGCGGAGGGTCTGGCTCCAGGGCCATCGCGCTCCCGCCTCCGGCGGCCGATCGGGGACGAGCACCTTCGGAACGCCCTAGGGCGAAGCGCGGCTGCTCGAAAGCACCCCGAGGTTCGGCACACCTTGCGGATGTGAGCCTGTGTTGTTTGGAGACTCTGGCAAATTTGCTTGCGTGGACAGAGGGGGGGTGAACCCGAAGCCAGCCGCAAACCACTTGACGTGCGGAAATCACGCAAGTCGAAAGGCACCTGCACGCTAGTATTCGTTTGAAGAGGGGCGGGCGAGGGGGGGGGAGAGGGGGGGCGAACGCCATGCAAGTGAGCTTGCCTGAATCTTGAACAATCCGCTCCTTGCGGATGCAGGACAACGACAGCAGGCGTCGGGGTCCCTCGCGCCCGACGCCAAAGGCCTCCCAGGATCCCTGGAGGCCTCCAAGCGACGGCGACGGCTGTGCAGCCCCGGTCCCGAGGGCGGCGCCTGGCACCCAGAACTCGTGGCCCTTGCTCTCGTCGTCCGACCGGATGAGCACGCCGTTGGACAGGATGGACCTCGGCGGGGGCGGCGTCGCGGATCGAGGCCTTGCCGCGTGCCCCAGTTAGGCGGGCGAAAAACTGAGTACGTAGACACACACACACACATAACATTCATCTTATGACACATAGAGCTTGGACACAGGACCAAGATTTGAGGCAAAGCGAAGCGAGCCCTCCAATCTTGTATACATATGTATCATATGTATATAGATATGTATATATCGGAGGTGACGGGGTGAGATCGAAGTGGAACGGAGAGCCCCCCTACCGGGAAATCGATTTCGGTTTCGTGTTCGTGCGTGCCGTGCGGGCGAGGCGAAGCTGCGTGGGCGGGCGAGAGAAAGTCTCCTGTGGCTGAGGCGCGGCCGGACCAAATGTCTCCCTTCCGGGCGGCCGGGGGCCCGCGGTGTCCCGCCGGTGTCCCGCTGGTGTCCCGTGTGGCTGAGGCGCGGCCGGACCAAATGACTCCCTTCCGGGCGGCCGGGGGCCCGCGGTGTCCCGCCGGTGTCCCGTCGGTGTCCCGATTATGGTGATGATATTGATGATGATGATGGTGATGATGATGACGATGTTGATGTTTTGTTTTGATGATCGATAGTGAGATCGGTAGTGATATCGATTGTGAGATCGAACGTGAGATCGAATGTCAGATCGCTTGTGAGATCGATTGTGAGATCGATTGTGATACCGAATGCGAGATCGATAATGAGATCGATAGTGAGATCGACTGTGAGACCGAATGGGGTATCGAGTGTGAGATCGATTGTGATATCGATTGTGAGATCAGTAACGAGACCGAATGTGAGATCGATTGTGGAATCTATTGTGAGATCGATAGTCAGATCGATTGTGAGATCGATCGATTGAGTTAGTAGTGAGATCACTATCGGTAATGAGATCGGTAGTGATTTCGATAGTGAGATCGATGATGAGACCGAATGTGAGATCGATTGTGAGTTCGGTTGTGATACCGATAGTGAGATCGATAGTGAGATCGATAATGAAATCGAAAGTGAGTTCGATAGAGAGATCGATAGTGAGGCCGAATGCGAGATCGATTGTGAGATCGATTGTGATATCGATGGTGAGATCGATAGTGAGACCGAATGCAAGATCGATAGTGAGATCGATAGTGAGTTTGACAGTGAGATCGATAGTCAGATCGAATGCGAGATCGATTGTGATATCGATTGTGAGATCAATAGCGAGACCGAATGTGAGATCGATTGTGGGATCGATTGTGAGATTGATTGTGAGATCGATAGTCAGATCGATTGTGAGATCTATCGATTGAAATCGATTGTGAGATCGGTAGTGAGTTCGATAGTGAGATCAATCGAGTGCGACGTTGGTCCCTCCCCCCCCTCACCTCCTTATCACCCGAAGGGTGGTCTATGCGGTATATATATATATATACACACCTGTTGTCTCTGGCTCCTGCCTGCTCATCACACTGTCATGCTTCCCTGTCCTTTCCCGCCGCCCACGTGCTTCCCATCTCGAGGCGTGCGTCACCGTCCAACGTCGGACTCCCCGTCCTCCAGTGACCCGCTCGTGCTTCACCCCTCTCCTCCGCGGTCCAGGCTACACTTTTTCCGGCACTCTGCCTGCTCGCCAGATGTTGCCACGCAGGCACCCGAGCACGGGGCCAAGATCCTGGGACACTGCGCAGCGAGCCCTCGCATCTCCTGTGTACTGCGCCATCGGGGGGCGCCTGCCCCAGGGCGGCTGGGCCGCCGCCCCCGATTGCGCGGAACGCGCTAGAGCTCCTCGCCTGGCACTCGATCCAAAAGTGGCACCAGAAGGGCCGCAACAGGCGGGCGGGCCCAAGAGGGGTCCCGGGCAGCCCCTGGCCCGACGCCGCCGGGCGGAGCTGAAGCGCAGCAGATTGGGCCCCCAGGCCGCCCAGGGACAACACGGGCATGCTCTGAGCCTGATCGCTCTGTGCTAGTCCCCGGGCCCGGAGACCGGGCGGAAACGTCTTCAATCATGCCGTACGCCGGAGAGCGTTGGCGAAAGGAAGACGGTGCCGGCCTACTCTCACCGCCTTGCGGGAGCGGCGGCGAGTCGGCCGTCACATAAGCTACATCGTGCGCGGCAGGAGGAGGAGGAGGAGGAGGAGGAGGAGGAGAGCGATCGTGGATCCCTCAGGCCATCAGGAAAAAGGAAACAGGAGGAGAGGAGGAGGAAGAGGGAGGAGGAAGCATTGAGGCGACGAATGCGAAACTGAAAAAGCTGCAACGCCCCGACCTCGTTGTGATCGTCGTGGCAGCAGTAGTGGTCGTGGTCGTCGTGGCTGCGGTGGTGGAGGCGGTCGTGGTCGTAACAGCAGTCCCAAATCTCCGACGAAACTGTTGTTCCATCCCGGCGCTTTCTTAGATGTCGGCCTCGGGAGCCTGTTATTCGGCCCAAGATCAAAGATGGACCCAGGTCGAAACACCATCCGAGGAGAAGATCGGGGAAGTGGTCGGGACTCCCAGGGCAGCGGGTGGAAAAATCAGATCGGCGGATGTCAGGGCAAGAGGTCGTGGTCGGTGCAGTGGTCGGCGTCGTCGCGGACGCAAGAGAAACGGGGCCCTGCAGGATGAGCAGAGGCCGCCAACCACCCTGGGGACAAAAGGCTGTGAGCCATGCAGGCGGGGTGCTGTCTCTTTTCATGTGTAGCTTATGCCTCTTGTGTCTGGCATCCACTACACGACCATGCAGGCTTCTACACAGGCTCACGAGACCGAAAGCGCAACTACAGGGGATACGCATACAGGGCCACGGGGCGCACGATTCACGCAGAGGGTGCGCAAAAGGGCGCAGACGGAGGCTGTGAGATCCATTTTTGTTTCCACCGCAGCGGTTGGCTGGCGGGCGGCTGACTACCATGCCAGAGGGAGGAGCAGCAGAGAGAAGGAGGAGGAGAAGAAGCGAAGCGAGGGAGACAGACCATGGCACTGTGTGTGCTTCCCCTCTCGGTCCAACGGAGGCTGTGAGATTCATTGGCTTCCCAGAAGCCCCGCCGCCTTCTGCGAAGGCCTCCTCCTTCACATCTCCCCCAGCCTACGTCCTCCCGCCGCCCTATGCACATCTTCCGCCCCTCCCCCCCCCCTCCCCGCAAGCCCCGCTTCGGCTCATTACCTCCCCACCTCCTCGGCCTCCCTGCCCTTTCCACCCGCTACCCCCGCCCCCTTTCCCCCCTCTCCCCCTTGACGCCCCAAGTCTCGGCCCTCCCCCACATCCGCCTCCCCATCGGCCCCCCTTCCCCGTCCCGCTACAGTCACCGTGCTACCGCAAGGGGCGCAGAAGCAGGAACGAAGCGGCTCTTCTGACCAAAGCGAGCCCCGGCCACGAATGGGCCCCCCCGACCCCCAAGACCCAAGGAACGGCCCGAAAATCGGAGCCCCTCCCTCAGCCCAGAGCGGTCCTTACTTCAGCGTCTTGACACTGTGCTCCCCTTCCCCGTGCCCGTCGCATCCATCCTCCTCCCCCTCCTCCCCCTTCCTCCTCCTCCTCTCCTCCTCCTCCTCCTCCTCCTCCTCCTCCTCCTCCTCCTCCTCCTCCTCCTCCTCCTCCTCCTCCTCCTCCTCCTCCTCCTCCCCCTCCTCCCCCGTCGGCCGCAGCCGCACCCCTGCGGGGGGCCCGCCCGTCTCGCCCCTCGGAGGACCCCCGCCCGCGGCCCCTTCGCAGGCCCACTGCGCGGCGGGCCAGATCGCGTAGAACCACGTGCCGTGCCACGCCTGGTGCCAGTGGCTCTCCGGCTTCACCCTGCTGTACGTCGAGGCGTCGAACGAGTACTGGACCTGAGCCCCGCCCCACCCTCCCGAAGAGGAGGAGGAGGAGGACGAGGAGGGGGAGGCGGGAGGAGAAGGGGGAGGAGGAGGGAGGAGGGATGAGGCGGAGGGGGAAAGAGAGAGCTCTGGTGCCTGGGTTCTGGCTCCTCGCAATATGCCGAGGGCTCGCGCTCCAGCCGCGGGCGGCCGGAGCCGCACCGGGCCGCGCACTCAAGACGCCGAGGATGGGGGAGGAGCAGGCAGGTCGCGATGATCAAGGTCTCTGGGCGTTCTCTGGGCCCCTGTCTCATTCAACCACCCGCCCAAAATCAGACGAAACCAGGACGAAGATGAATTCGGGTGAGGATAAATCGAGAATCTCTGAGATCCCGCGGCTCTGGAAAGTGCCTCGGTTGCCGCGGCCTTATCAGAGCGTTCCGGAACGCTCTGAGAGCGTCCCGGAACGCTCTGGAACGGAACTGGCCTCGTCATAGCCCGCCCGAAAAAGATCTCCTCGCCTTTTGAAAAAGAAACGGCGGAATGTCGTTTCGCTGTTTCGGGCCGAGGGGCCTCGCCGGGCACCCCGGCCGTCAGAGAACACAGCACAGTACGAAAAGCTGTTCCCTGGGAGGTGGCCCGGACCTCTGTGGGGGAGCACGTGTGAACAAAAAAGCAACTCCAGATGTCTGAGGCTGAGGCGCAGCGCGACCAACCCACTCCCGCGGAAATAGGGCGGAGAGGTCCATGAGTGTGTGTGTGTGTGTGTGCGTGCATGTATACGTATGTATGTATGAATAAACATATGCAAAGTACATAGACATACCCAAGATGGCCCAAAATGGCCCCCAAATTCGCCACAAGCTGGCCTCCAAGATGGCCTCCGACCAGACCGGAACGTGCGGAAACCGACCGGCCCGGCCCGGGGAGAGGCTTGGGGTCCAAGATGCCTTAAAGTCCGCCCAAGAAGCCTCCAGGACGGCACAAGATGGCCTCAAGATGGCCCAAAACGGCCCAAGAGGCCCTAAAGAGGCCTCCAAGGTGGCCCAAGAGGCCTCCAAGAGGTCCTCCAGGAAGGCCCGAAGAGGCCAAAATCATTTATTGTGCGTGGGTTTTTGAAGGACGGTTTTGGCATTTGCTTCTTTTCGGCCTTCCGACGGCCCGAGACGGCCCAAGAGCTCCCAAAGATCGCCCCAGAGGCCTCCAAGATGGCCCCAGAACATCCCAAGAGGTCCCCCAAACCGCCTCAAGAGGACCCCAAGACGGCCCGAGAGACTTCCAAAACGCCCAAGATGGCCTCGAAGACGGCCCTGGAGCACCCCGCGAGGGCCCCAAGTCGGCCCAGAGAGGCCATCAAGACGGCTTCCGTGGGCGTCAGACGGGACAGGAGTCCACCAAGAGGGCCCAAAATGGCTCCAAGACGGCCCAAGACGGACCAAGAGGTATCCAAGTCTTGTTTTGTTCCGTAGGTTTTGAAGGAGTTTGGCATTTGCTTCTGTTCGGCTTTCCGAAGGCCCGACACGGCCCAAGAGCTCCCAAAGGTCGCCCTCGCTCAAGAGGCCTCCAAAATGGCCGGCCAAGAGGCCCCCAAGACGGCCCGAGAGGCCTCCAGGACGCCCAAGATGGCCTCCAAGACGCCCCTGGAGAACCCCAAGAGGGCTCCAAGTCGGCCCAGAGAGGCACTCAAGACGGCTTCCGACGGCGTCAGACGGGCCAGGAGGCCACCAAGATGGGTCAAGATGGCTCCAAGATGGCCCAAGACGGCCCCAAGAGGCCCCCAAGAGGCCTCCAAGACGGCCCCAAAGAGGGCCTCCAGAAAGGCCCGAAGAGGCCCAAATCATAGATTCCCCAAAAAGCTGTATGAACGGCTTGGCATTTGCTTCTTTTCGGCCTTCCGACGGCCCGAGACGGCCCAAGAGGCCCCCAAAGATCGCCACAAGATCGGCCCAGAGGCCTCCAAGATGGCCCCAGAACGGCCCAAGAGGCCCCCAAGACGGCGCCAAGAGGGCCCCAAGACGGCCCAAGTCTCGAAGACACCCAAGATGGCCTCCAAGACGGCTCTGGAGCGCTCCAAGAGGGCCGCAAGTCGGCCCAGAGAGGCCCCCAAGACGGCTTCCGACGGCGCCAGACGGGCCAGGAATGCCCTAAGCCGGCCAGAGAGGCCCCCGAGAAGCCCCCAAAGGCCCCCAAGAGGCCCAAGGAGGCACCCAAGATGCCTCCAAGAGGCTCCCACGAAGCTCCCAGGAGGCCCCAAGAGTGCTCCCGGAGGCTCCCAAGATGCCCCCTCCTCCTCCTCCTCCTCCTCCTCCTCCTCCTCCTCCTCCTCCTCCTCCTCCTCCTCCTCCTCCTCCTCCACGTGATCTTCCCCGCCATCCTCCCCCGAGTGTCCCCCGAAGGGTTCTACAAGGGCTGGGGGAACACATGGCCCGATAGCTTGGCAGAGCTCTTGGCACAACATTCGGCCACATTGGTGATTCCAAAAGGCAGGCGGCGGCGGTCATTCGCCGTAGTCCTCTTCGATATACCTGACATGCGCAACTGCGTGTCGGCAACTTGCATGTATACACACCAAATACATACTTGCATGCCTATAAACTTGTGTATATAGATACATATATATATATATATATAGTCTCGCTCCCTCTCTCTCTCTCTGAATATACCTATATGTATAGATACATAGATACATGTGTACAGGTGTGTGTAACCATAGACACACTACAAGCAAATTTCGGCGGCGAGCGAGGGGGGGAGTGAGAAGGAGAAGGCCTTCTCAGAATGCGGCGCGGCTCAGAAGGCCTCTGGCCTTCTGGGGCGTGTTCTGCGTCCTCGGGGAAGGCTCAGCGAGCTCCTCAGAAGGCCGGAGGCCTTCCGAGCCTTCTGAGGAGGCCCGCCCCGTCAGACTTCCCCCCTGGGCTCGCCGCCGAAAAATAAGCCCAAGGCGGGCACCACTACAAAACAAGCATGCAGACAACGAGTTTACATTCCACACGCACACACACAAAACGGCTGAATCACAACAACAGCAACAGCAGCACCAGCAACAGCAACAGCAACAGCAACAGCGACAGCACCAACAACAACAACCACAACAACCACAACACCAACACCAACACCACCAACACCACCACCAACAACAACAACCAAACTACCCTCATGCGCGATGCTTCCACACGAAGCATGCGACGATCATGATAACAATCCCCATCATGGGGGATTATTGTTCTATCGCGGGGTCCGTTATTCCCATTCCCAGATCTCCCGCCCAATGAGATATTGCAAAATCTCCTCTGAGGAACTTCAACATATCCCGCCTCGAAAACGCATGCCCGCGCCTTGCTGCGCCGATGCGAGACCGCCAGTGGAGCCCCAGCCAAGGGTAAGCACAAGGAAGCATCGAGCGACAGGATAGCCCTGGTGGGGATAGGGGCTGTCGGCGGCGAGGCAAGGACCTGGCCCTGAATACAAAGGGAGGAAGTCTCGAGCAGGACCGCTGTTGTTGCTTGGAGCGGCGCCATTGCTGAAGAGAGTAGGGCGCTAGTCCAGCGTTAAACAAAACTCAGTCTCGAGCGGGAACTCTGGTTTTGTTGGGACGGTGGTTGTCGGCGGCGAGGAAGAACACCGCCTTGAGTAAGACAGCAGGACGTCTCGAGCGGGAGCCGTGGTTTTGGCGGAACGGGGGCTGTCGGCGGCGACGAAGAGCACCGTCCTGAGGAAAAAAAAGGAAGCCTCGAGCGGGAGGGGAGCGTTGGGAGCGTTAATATTGCTGGGAGAGGAAGTCTCGGGCGGGAGCGCTGGTTTTGTCGGGACGGCGGTTTTCGGCGGCGAGGAGAAGCACCGCCTCGAGTAAAAAAGGGAGGACGTCTCGAGCGGGAGCGTTGTTGTTGCTGGGGGCGGCGCCGAGAAATAGTGGCGCGCCAGTCCGAGGTAAAACGGGAGGAAATCTCGAGCGGTAGCGCTGGTTTTGCAGGGACAGCGGCTTTCGGCGGCGAGCAAGAGCACCTGCCCTGAGCAAAAAAGGGGGAAGTCTCGAGCGGGAGCGTTGTTGTTGTTTTTGTTGTTGTTGTTGTTGTTGTTGTTGTTGTTGCTGTTGTTGTTGCTGTTGTTGCTGTTGCTGTTGTTGTTGTTGTTGTTGTTGTTGTTGTTGTTGTTGTTGTTGAACATTATTAATTCTAAAGAATAATTATTGTTGGGCCCCCTGGTGCGCGCCCCCTCCGCCGCGCCTAGGCCGCAGCCACGTTTTCATAATTTTCCTGAGGAAGCCTCAGGTAATTCGAGGTGATCAAGATCCGGTTGTTTTGTTGTAATCCGCTTTCCCTTGCAAAAAACACTATAAAATGACATTTCTTGTTCTAATATAATCAAATTTCAAGAATCCCTTGCAACAAATAAGGTAAAGTGGACATTCGCGCGCGCAAGACGAAATCCTTCCAAAAGCTTAGTGTTCGGAGCGATTTTAACATAAAAACATCAAAAAACCAATGGTTTTTCAACAAAAAAATGTCAAAATCTCATCCCGCGCGCTCTTGCGGATTCGTAGGAAAACCAACACTTTTTAAACATTTCTGTCAAACGGGCTTTTGCGAGCAACTTTTTCGAACTTTTGCGACAACGGTTGCGCACCTGCCAGGGCCATCATCCCTGTCAAATAATACCATGCGGGACACATTCGTCTCTCTGTATTATGTATTGTATGGCACAATTGCACCATGCTGGGCACATGCGCGCCCCGAATAAGTGACCAAGTTCTGTGGGTGTGTACCCCACGCCAGTGTAGTAGCCACGGTCGTCCGCGCGCCACGAAGTGAAGTGTCCCAACGTCATAGGGCGGGAAGCTGGGTTTGGGTGGTCGCGAAGAGTCGTTTGGATATTTGGTAGAGCTTGTAATGCCCCCCCACGAAGTGGGGGTATTGCCTGGTGTCGTATGAAAACCCTGGCACTGGGGAGAACACCACGCGTTCGGGTAAAATGATTGTTGTTGTTGTTGTTGTTGTTGTTGTTGTTGTTGTTGTTGTTGTTGTTGTTGAACTCTCATTCTTGAAGAATAATTATTGTTGATCCCCCCCCCCCCACCGGTGCACATCGATTTTTTTCGATTGAAGTGCCACCCCTGGGGCTCGCACCTTGTTTTTTTAAGGAAAGTCTTCCTGCTCAAACTGTGCCCCTGCCCCCTGGGCTACAACAACAACGGCTCCCGCCTGAGACTTCCTCGATTTTTACTCAGGACCCCCGCTCCCGCCTGAGACTTCCGCGCAATTTACTCAGGAAAGGCGCTCCCGTCTGAGACTTCCTCGCAATGTAATCAAGACCCCCGCTCCCGCCTGAGACTTCCGTGCAATTTACGTGGGAACGGCGCTCCCGCCTGAGACTTCTTCGAATTTTACTCAGGACCCCCGCTCCTGCCTGACATTTCCGCGCAATTGACTCAGGAACGGCGCTCCCGCCTGAGACTTCCTCGCAATTTAGTGAGGACCCCCGCTCCCGCATGAGACTTCCGTGCAATTTGCTCAGGAACGGCGCTCCCGCTTGAGACTTCCTCGCAACTTAATCAGGGCCCCCGCTCCCGCCCGAGATTTCCTCACACTGTACTCAGGACTGCGCTCTCGCGTGCGACGTCCTCACAAATTATTCTGGAATTGCGTTTCGGCGCTCAGGAACCACGCGCGCGCCAAGGACGCCTTCACAACGTGGTATCTTCCCTCTTCCTTCGTCCTTCTTCCTTCCCCCTCCCCTTCCTCCCACTCTCCCTCGTTCTTCCCCTCCTCCTTTTGCAGGGCCCGCGCCAATTCCAATGGCGGGCAGAGAGATGTACGCCCCCGAAGGATTGTCCGCCCGTTCCGGTTTGCCCGTACGTCTAAGCCCGCCGGCCCCAGCAAAGAGAAATAATCCCCCCGAAAGGGGTGTGATCGAAGACGAAGAGGGCGGGCATCGAGGGTGTAGGGTATACGTGTTGAATGACTCGCGGGCAAGTAAGAGCGTACAGCCTTAAAATGGTTGTTGTTGTTGTTGTTGTTGTTGTTGTTGCTGTTGGGGGGCCGTTTTTGTCGCCCCCCCAAACAGCTCGAGCGTGAGCCTCATTTTCAATGAGAATGTAGCCCGCGCTGAGGCGAGGGCGCCAAACCGCATGGGGGGGTCCAACAAGAAGAATAATAAAATAATAACAAGAAGAGGAAGAAGAAGAAGAATAATAATTGATTACTAGTTCACATTCGACAACACCAGCGAGAGAAAAAAACAAGCAGCGCGCCCGCGGCCCCTCCGCGACCGTGGCGCCGCCGGCCTCGGGCCGCTGGAACGCCTCCCGCGGTGGGGGGGGCGCACGCCTCTCTGAGGCGCCCGCCCAGGGAGGGCGACCGCCCGGTCTTGCCGGGGGCGCCCACCGGCGGCTACAGAGGGCCCCCCCCTCGCCCCCCCCCCCTCGACAACCAGCAAGCACTGAAGTATGCGGGCATCCATCCTCGGAGGGTTGGCCCGTGCACGACGGTATGGCACAGCCCCTGCCTCTGCCTCGGCTGCGCAGAGAAGCGACACAGGTCGTTGGTGCTTGGTATCTGGTGTCTCTCGCAAGTTTGTAAGTGCCCATCGGTCGGAGGAAGTATGTAGAAGCATGGCGTAGGACGGCGTTGAACACAGATTGGGCTTCCGTCCGCCCCCCAAGGAGGGCGGAACCGGTGAAGCCACTCGCTCATGGAAGCAGGAAGGCGCTTTTAAAGTAGCTTGGGATCTGGGAGTCCAGGAATACCTGCCTTCAACGACCGATGGGGACGCCAGGGTCTGGTTGGCAATCGGCCCCGCTGGGGCCTGGGCGCCACGACCCTGGCCTCGTCGGGCCGCCTCGGGGCGCGGCGGAGAACTCCGTCGAGGGCCCCGCCCGCTCCCCACGGTGCGCCCCCAGGGTGCCCCGTTGCAAACCACGCCCTGTGCAGACCACACCCGCCGGAGCCGCCGAGCACAAGAGGGGGGCCAGGCAGCGCAGGAAGACAAGGAGAGAGGCCAAGAGACTTGGGGAGACCGGTGCCCCCGCCAGGTTTTTTTTTTGCCCGGACAGAACACCTGGGCGACACAACCCGAAGGGAGGTGCCCAAGGTGCCTGCATGAATTCACATGCAGTCGGGCCTCGCAACGCGACCGGCGGCACGGACCCGCCCCAGGCGTTATCCGCGCCGCCGTTGCGAGGTGCCTCGAGTGCCCCCGCCAGGACATCCGCCCCCCCCAGGTCATCACTCCCCTCCCGGACGCTCCCGACGGATGGCAGACTGCGGCAGGCCCGCGAGACGCAGCCGAGATCGGGACAAACGACGGTTAGGACAAAGCGGGGATCTCCGAGATCCGGAAGAGGCCCAGATCCCCTGCTGTCGAAACTGTTACAAGTATATGCGCGCGATCAGGATGCGAGGGCCTTGGACGCCCATGCCGAAGCCTTTGAAGCGGGGCTGGCCATCGAAAGTGGTTGAGTATGGACCAAAGATGGCCGAAGAGGCAAGGTTAAAAGGGTACCCTTGGGAGATCATCCTTACTATCAGATTTTTCTCGCCGCTCCATGCACGGACATGCATCAAATCACGCGGCGTCGAAACCGAACCCGCGGGGCACGCGTACGCGCGACAAGAGCGTGCGTGGCCTGAAAAACGGGTCCCTAGAGATGCAGGCGAGAACAACTTGGGAGATACTGGACCCCACCTCTGTCTTGCCCCCGCCCTACGCGGTTCACTCGCTTGCCACAGGAGCCAGAATGAAGTCGAGAAGGCCTGTGACAAACGGGTCTGCCAAGCAGGGGGCCAAGGTCACTTCTCGGCGACCTTCTCGGAGAACACGCTCTGAGGCTCCGCGGTCGCGCCCTGGTGCCCGCTTGTGGCCCCGTCCTCCCTCTTCCCGAAGAGTCGGTCCCAGTTGTCCGCGTATCTCCCCGTGTAACCGAACGTGTTCGCGTTGCTCAGCGGCCTATCGCCGGGGCAGACGGGACTTCCTGCGTTGGGGTTGGATCCCGAGGTGCCTGCCGAACTCGTCGCCGCGCAGCACGGGGAAGCCGCGCCTCTGCCCGCCGGGCGCGGGGGCGGCGGTCCTGCCCGATGGCACTGGCCGCTCCCCCTTTGACAGTCCTGTGTGGAAAGGCCTCCTGGGGTGCTGCACCAGCTTGGCCGCCCCGGGCGCCCCGCTGCGGCCTCTCGCCGCTCCATGCACGGACATGCATCAAATCACGCGGCGTCGAAACCGAACCCGCGGGGCACGCGTACGCGCGACAAGAGCGTGCGTGGCCTGAAAAACGGGTCCCTAGAGATGCAGGCGAGAACAACTTGGGAGATACTGGACCCCACCTCTGTCTTGCCCCCGCCCTACGCGGTTCACTCGCTTGCCACAGGAGCCAGAATGAAGTCGAGAAGGCCTGTGACAAACGGGTCTGCCAAGCAGGGGGCCAAGGTCACTTCTCGGCGACCTTCTCGGAGAACACGCTCTGAGGCTCCGCGGTCGCGCCCTGGTGCCCGCTTGTGGCCCCGTCCTCCCTCTTCCCGAAGAGTCGGTCCCAGTTGTCCGCGTATCTCCCCGTGTAACCGAACGTGTTCGCGTTGCTCAGCGGCCTATCGCCGGGGCAGACGGGACTTCCTGCGTTGGGGTTGGATCCCGAGGTGCCTGCCGAACTCGTCGCCGCGCAGCACGGGGAAGCCGCGCCTCTGCCCGCCGGGCGCGGGGGCGGCGGTCCTGCCCGATGGCACTGGCCGCTCCCCCTTTGACAGTCCTGTGTGGAAAGGCCTCCTGGGGTGCTGCACCAGCTTGGCCGCCCCGGGCGCCCCGCTGCGGCCTCCCGCCGCGCGAGCGCGATGGCCCCCTCCCGTCCTCCCGCGGCCGCCCTTCTCCCCCCTCCTCTCCCTCCTCGCACCCGGGCACGTCGCAGTGCCGCCGCCCGGCGTGCTGAGCGCGCGTGCGGGCCGCCTCTGCCGCGCCGCGGCGGCGAAGTCTGCAGAGGCCCCCGGTGCCTCGCCCCCCCGATCGGCGCGGGGGCAGAGCGGTGGGCGCGCGGCGACGGGGCCTCCGTGAGCCGTGGGCCCTCAGGAGGCGGGCGCCCGAGCGCTCGGACCGAGAGGCGGCGGCCGCCCCTGCCGGCCCGCTGCGCGGCGCACCCGCGAGGGCGCTGGCCACCTCCGCTCCCCCCCCCCGCCCCCGTCTCCTCCTCCCCCTCCGCCTCCGCCCCCTCCCGAGGCAGTTGGCAGCGAGGCAGGCTCCGCTCACTCGTGCTCTGAGCGGCTGCGCGGCGAGGCCCCCCGCGACTCCCTGGGCAGGAGGCCCAGTGGGCAAACCCCTCACCGCGTGAGCTCGGAATCCGCTGAAACCGACTCCTCCATTTCTTCTCTTTATAAACAACCCCTCCCTGTCGCACCCCGAGGCCAGCTTTTAGGGCGGGCAGGGCTTTTCGCCTGAGACTTCCTATGACTCTGGGCCTTAAAAGATGGCAGCAGTTTCACAAATGGAGGGCGGGTGGCTTTCAAAATGTGGCTCTCGCCTTAGCGCCCGCGCACATTCGTTTCCAACATTTCTAAGAGCTTCGCGGATTGAGGGCGGATCGTTTTCGAAATGTGGCTCTCGCCTGAGCGCCGCGCACATTCGTTGTAAAACAATTGCAAGAGCTTCACGGATTGAGGGCGGGTGGTTTTGAACATGTGGCTCTCGCCTGAGCGCCGCGCGCATTCGTTGTAAAACAATTGCAAGAGCTTCACGGATTGAGGGCGGGTGGCTTTGAACATGTGGCTCTCGCCTGAGCGCCGCGCGCATTCGCTTTACAAACTTGCAAGAGTTTCCCTGATTGAGGGCGGGTCGTTTTCAAAATGTGGCTCTCGCCTGAGCGCCGCGCGCATCCTTTATGACAAATGCAAGAGTTTCACGGATTGCGGGCGGGTCGTTTTCAAAATGTGGCTCTCGCTTCAGCGCCGCGCACATTCGTTTTCACGGATTGAAGGCGGGCCGTTTTCAAAATGTGGCTCTCGCCTTAGGGCCGCGCACATTCTTTGTTAAAACTGCAAGAGCCTGACGGGTTGAGGGCGGTTCCTTTTCAAAATGTGGCTCTCGCCTTAGCGCCGCGCGCACTCGCTGTAAACATATGCATGAGCTTCACGAGCTCCCATTCGAACATTAGGTTTTGTGAGGATTATGGATAAATGCGGGTGCAACAATTATGTTGATTCGCGGTGTTGCAATCCCAGAAACGGCGATATGACACGATTCCGGATTGCCAAGACGCTGCAGTCAGGTTGATACGTGGCGTTCAAATCCCGCGAACCATGTTTTGGCATGATTCAAGATCTTCAAACGGTTGTCTTCCGACGAGGCAGTTCCCTCAATGGAAATGAACCGTTGTAGGGTCCTATGAATAGGGAGCATGGAGGGAGGGTTAATTCCAACATCGTTGATGACTCTTGGGTTTACACTGGTCCTCCTCCTCCTCCTTCTCCTCCTCATCCTCGCTCTCAGCTAAGGACCACCTCCTCCTCCTCCTCCTCCTCCTCCTCCTCCTCCTCCTCCTCCTGTCCTCCTAGCCCGCCCTGCGTCGGCCACGCGGAAAAAAAGGATCAGCAGAGGGAGGGGCGCAGCAAGGAGAGAGACGGAGGGGGGCGGGCCGGGGGGGGGGCTTACCTGCCTCCCGCTGGAGGTGCACAGGGGGGACTCCAAATGGGGCCACGATCCTCGTGAGGGGGCGTGCCGAAGTGGGCGGGGCGACGCGTACCAACCCTGCCACTGGGGCCGTCGGTGGGGAGCCACGATCCTCGTGAGGGGTGTGCCGACTTGTGCGGGGGGGACGCCTGCGGTACCCCCCCCCGCCTTCCGTGGGGGGGGCGACCGTGCGCCACTCGGCGCCATCCGCTGGGGGGGGACCGACCGCCACTCCTGGCAGAGCTGGGCGGCGACAGCCGAACCCTACCCCCGCCAACCATCGATGCTCCTGGCTCGATGGGAGGACGGAGCGATCAGGGCTCGGACTTCAACACGTGCTCGACGAGCTCCGAAACCCCACCCCCGCCCCCCCTCCCATATAGAGTTGCAGGATCGCTGATCGGCGAGGGTGGGGTCAGGGGCCTGCCGCCGAATATTGGCGGCGCGCACAGGGAGGTAAGAGGGAGGGGGAAGGCTTCTTAGACGGGGGATGCTTCTGAGAAGGTGAGAGCCTTGCATCTACAGATGAGGCCCGCGCCTTCTCAGAAGCAGGGATGCTCTGAGAAGCCTTCCCCCCTCCCCCTGTCCCCTCGTGCGCGCGGCTGGGAAGAATGGGCGGGCGAGGGAAGGGGGGGGGCGCAGAACGGGGGCAGGGGAGCCCGGAATTGAATCGATAAGCCAGATCGGCGATCGAAACGAATCGCATCGGCGAAAATCGGCAGCCGAGGCGGGAGAAGTCTAATCGGCTCAACTCGGCAGGCTAGTGAGGCTCCCTTGAGACATCGGAGTCCAGATCAGAATCCGAGGCCGAATCGAGCCGGCATCGGAGCCCATTCAACTCGATCCGAATCGGAGTCATCGAAATGAACCCGGGGTGGGAGCAAAGGGGGGGCCGCTGGAATGCCTCCCGGCTGGGGCAGCCGCGAGCCTCTCGCCGACGTCCGCAGGGAACGAGGAGCTTTTTTGTTGTCCAACCGCCTGCACGCGGCTGCTTCTCCGGACGCCTCGAGGCGCCAGGGGCGGCCACGTCTCCCAGCAGAACGAGCCTGCGAGGAGCCGAACCAGGCTGCACGCAGCGACCGTTGTCGATTGCATCCGAGGTCGTGCCGCGTTTTTGCTGCCTGCGCTGCTGCTTGCTTGCGTCAGGCTTGCCTGAAGGCTTTGCCCGCGTTCCAGTGTCGACCCGCCCTGAAGCCCGAATACGAGTGCGCCGTAGTTTCTGTTGGTGCTCGCGCCCACGCACCGCCCGGTGTGTGGCTTTCGGCTCGCTTCAGCCGAGGCTGCTCTCCCTCCTCGGACAGCCCGACTGAAGCATCCGTCGGCCCCTTTTGTGGGGGTCAAGACGAGGTATGGGTTCCAGAGTTGAGAGAAGACCGGCTGGGCTGTGGGAGCGCGGACTAAAGGCGGGCGGATGGAGTGGACGACAACTGGGCCTCGAGAGGTGCCCCAAGGACGGCCCAGGAGGGCGCCAGTGACTTCCACGGAGGGCTCCATAGGCTGGCCCACGGGAAGCCTCGGCGCGACCCTGAAAAACCGCAAGGGCCTCCACGAGGTATTTAGGCTACAACACTTGCCATGGGAGGCCCTCAGACAGCCGACAAAGTACCGCACACCATCTGAAGCCCTGGCGAGCCTCCTGGGATGTTCGGAAAGCCTGTGAAGACCTCACGCGGCCCCCACGTGGCCGTCGCCATGGCGGTCGCCGCCGTGTGCTCCCCGCCGCAATCGCCGCGCGCCTGGGCACCAGGAGGAAGCGACACCACCACCACCAGGGACCACCACCGGAAGAAGCTGGGGGGGGTCTCCCTGGTGGTAGTGTGACCTCTCGGTCGAGGCATCCCGCATTCCCGGCTTGGGGAGGCATCATTCGGCGGCGAGCGAGAGGGGGAAGTGAGAAGGCGAAGGCCTTCTCAAAAGGCGGCGGAGCTTCTCAGAAACCCTCGCGCCTTCTGAGAAGTGTTCCGTGTCTCCGGACAAAGCCTAGAACACTTTTTGGAAGGCCAGGGGGCTTCCGAGCCTTCTGAGAAGGCCCGCACCTTCTCGCTTCCCCTCTCTGGGTTCGCCGCCGAATTTGGTCTTCGGGACATAACTCAAGTCCCTGGCGGCCGTTCGGGGCGATCCGGGCACCCCCAGACGCCTCTCGGCGAGGCGCAGCCGCTGGAAGACTCCCCGCGGTTGGAGATCCGCCGAGGACCGACGAGAGCGCCCGAAAACCTCGAGGCTCGCCGCCGAATCGCAGACCTCCTCGCAGGAGATGGCCCCACTTGTGGTGGTGGTGGCCGCTTCTGCTGCCGCGGGTCGGCGCGGGGGGAGGGGGAGCCCCAGCCGGGCCTCGCCGCGCTCCAGGGCCGGGAGGTCCCGCTGCCCGAACCAGGCGTTCTGTGCCGGGGGCGGGGGGGGCGGGGGCCAGGTTTGCCCAAAGCCGGATGAGGATGAATGCAGATGAGATCTCCTCCTCCTCCTCCTCCTCCTCCTGTCCTCCTCGGGGGTAGCTCTTAACCGTGAGCGCGGTACCACGGCTAATGTACCAGACTACTGTACCAGACTCATGTACCAGACTGATGTGCCAGACTCTAATGCACCAGACTACTGGCACCACACTACTCTGGTGCCATTCGTCTGGTGCCATAGGTCTGGTGCCATTCGTATGGTGCCATTCGTCTGGAACATTAATCTGGCACATCAATCTGGTACATTCGTCTGGTGCGTTAGTCTCGTGCATTCGTCTGGTGCAGCAATATGGTACATTAGTCTGGTACATTAATCAGGTACATCAATATGGTACGATGGTCTGGTACATTAGTCTGCTACGATAATATGGTACCGCTGGCCTGGTGCCGTTGATCTAGTGCCATTACTCAGGTGCCATTCGTCTGGTGCCATTAATCTGGTACATATAGTCTGGTACCGCTGAATTGGTGTCACCAGTCTGGTGCCATTAGTCCGGTGCCAATGCTCCGGTTATTTAGTCTGGTGCCGCTTGGTTGGTACCGCTAGTCTGGTGCAATCAGTCTAGTGCCATGAAGTTGGTGCCATTAGTCTGGTACATTAATCTGGTACATGAGGCTGGTCCAACAGTCTTGTACAGTAGTCTGGTACTTTAGGTCTGGTACATTAGTCTGATACATTCTTCTGGTACATCAATCTTGTACATCTAGTCTGGTACATTCGCCTGGTACGTCAATCAGTCTGGTACATTAGTACATTAAGCTGGTACTTTACTCTGGTACCACTCGTCTGGTGCCATGAGTCTGGTGCTATTAGACTGGTCCCATTAGCCAAGTAGCCAAGTGCCATTCGTCTGGTGTCATTAATCTGGTACATATAGTCTGGTACTCTAGTCTGGTACTGCTAGGGTGGTACCATGAGGCTCGTGCCCTTAGTCTGGTGCCATTAATCCGGCACCGCTAGTCTGGTGCCGTTAGTGTGGCGTCATTAGCCTGGTACTTTCGTCTGGTACTCTAGTGTGTTTCGCTAGACTGGTTGGTGCATTAGTATTTAGTCTGGTGCCAATAGTCTGGTATTTAGTCTGGTATGCGGTTCTGCCAAATCATGCTCCCGCTGCAGCATTGGATTTCACTTGACGCTCCCGCTCTTTACGAAGCATTCAATTACATATTTCGTCTTGCGTCATGTTTGTTTCCCTCCGAACATGTTACTCCCAACCGCGCTCTTCTACGCCGTGCTACGCCGTGCTCTAACATGCATTTTGTACCCTCTCAGGAGCATTGCCCTGCTCGACACCCGACTGTGCGAATAGAGAGGAGATCTACGCCATGGTAGAGGGTGGGAGGGAGGTGTAAAACGTAAGACAAGACGCTTGCGCACCTGGCTTGCCCTCCTCCCCTCGTCCCTCCCCCTCCTCCTCCTCTCCCCGGCAGAAGCCTTCGCTTCCCAATGCAACCCCATTCCCCGAAATTCCCATCACCCTTCCTCCCATCTCCCCCGCCCATCTCCTCCCCCACCTTCTCCTGGGCACTTCCCTCCCTCACCTCCCTCGCTCAATTCGCCTTCTTATTATTCTTCTTCCCTCCTCGCGCCCTCCCCTACTTCCCTCCCTTCCCCTCCAACCATCTGCCCCTCCCGCAACCCGGCGTGCACCGCCCGGGACCCAGACGACCCCACCACGGGCGGGAGAGAGCGCCCGAGCGCTTTTGTAACTAGCTGGAGCGGACGCAGATGAATTGCAACGCAGATGCTGAAGAGAAGGATCATGAGGAGGAGGAGGAAGAAGAGGGATATGATGATGATGAGGAGGATGAGGAGGAGGACGATGATGATGGTGTTGGTGGTGATGATGATGATGATGATGATGCCAGGTCGGGTCCCCGAGGCCATAACATTCTTTTCAGAGAAGCTGACGGCGGCGATGGCAGGAAACGACGGCCTCGACTCCCAGAGTGGCCAGGACACTCGCGGGCAGCACAGACGCAGACTTAAATCGATTCAAAAACCCTCAAGCGAGGGCGGGTGGGTTCGGGAGCTTGAGCACAACGGTTGCGGTCGTGCGGCCCCTCGGCCCCTTCCCCAGCACACACCACACTAAAGTTGTTACAATGCCAGGTCGGGTCCCCGAGGCCATAACATTCTTTTTAGAGAAGCTGACGGCGGCGATGGCAGGAAACGACGGCCTCGACTCCCAGAGTGGCCAGGACACTCGCGGGCAGCACATACGTACATTGTGTAACACAAAACTCATGGCCGCAGGCCGCCCAAGAAATAAGATCGGGCCTGCGACAATTCCTCGATCGACGAAACGATTGAATCTGCCACAAGCTCGGCGGCTCGAGCGGGAAAGCGGGCAGCCTTGTGCCTGCACGCTACGCCTTTGGCCGTACGGCCGTCAAAACGCATGTGAGGTCGCCCCGAAAACGAGCAGCACTCTTTACTGTGATCACACACGCGAGCAAGGCGAGACAAGTTGGGGCAGTGCCAACAACACACACGTGTGGGAGCGCGAGCTGCGGCACCAAATTGACACAGGTCCACCTGAACGTTGAGACACGCAGAATGGTTCATTAGCTCAACTAGCTGAGGAACATGCCAGATCAAACTGCTACGAGGATGCTCGGAACACACAGGCACATGATGCTTCACGCAAGCACGCAAAATCTGAATGGCAGCCTGCATCTCGACATTGTCACACAGAAAGGCAGGGAGCACCACTGAAGTGGACGCGCCGTACTTGCGACCCCAAGGGTCCGCCACAGAACGGCGAGGCGGGGCGCCTGGCTGCATCCAGGTACTACGAGACAAGGAAATCCACAAAGCGCAGACAGCGGACGACCGAATCCAGCCCAGGATTCGATTGACCACCACTCGCTCAGTCAAACCTAGACTCGCGTTCCGACCTGCCCCGAACGATGGGCAACCCAAACCGCGACTGCGCAGCGCTTTGCATATGGGGGCCCCATGGGGCCCCAGCACAGGCAAAACGAGCCGCCTGCGGCGAGAAGCCCACGCGTGAGCACGCCGAAACGCCCCGCTCAAACGAGAAGCTAGCGCATGGTCAGAACTGGCGCCCGCTTTGCGACTGGCGGGACGGCAGGCATGGGCTGAAGAGGAACAGCCAGCGGGAAATGGCCTTTCACAAAACTGCACACGATGAGCTCCGCCAATCTCTCGAGCACCTGATCTCCAAAGCGTTCGACGGGCAGGTCTCCGATTCTCTGTTGCATCCGAGTGCGCTTGCCGTACCGTCTCAAACTCTTGTCCGTCGCCCATCTGCCCCTCTCTTTCACTTCCGCCAACGATCGGGACCCCGAGAGCAAGTCGCGTGAGGCCCCCCCCATGGCGGAGGGTGTACAAGGACGGGGACTCCCTCTGCAGCCCGAGCTCCCTCAAGCCCTGGGCGAACATCAGGCGGACGTCGGCGGGTCTGAAGTTCCACAGGCTGGCGCTGGGCTCCCTGTTGGCCTTCAGCGCGAGCAGCACGGGCCAGAGCTCTGGCGCATCCACCAGCACCGACTCGTCGGTCTCGCCCGTCTTGCCAGGCCGGCCTGCTTTCGCGTCGTTGACGATGATCCCCCACGAGCTGAACCCCGCCCCAGCTATTGGCGGCACCAACGAGCTCACTCTCAGACGGTAAGCCTCCGAGGGCCGCAGGTACGCATGAAACACCAGCGCCACGAACACCGCCATGCTGGGCAAGTTGCGAGAGATCATCCAACCAGCAACTGCCATGGCCGCAGCTCGCGGCAGTGGGAGCCGCAACTGCGGGGGGACCAGCCGCCGCCAGCCGTCGAGGGCTCGGGCCGCTCGAGGGAGAGGACGCCTGCCGCCGAGCAGCTGGGGCAAGAAGTGCCTCAGAGCGGCTACTGACATCCTCCCCGTGGCGGAGTCGAACCCGTCCAATGCCAGGTCGGTCATGAACGCCACCAGCGCCACGTCCAGCTGCGGGGCCGAGTGAAAGTCCAGGCCGTGCCAAGTCACCCACTCGAGGAACCTCACGGCGTGACCCCTGTAGCGCTCCCTGGTCGAGTCCGTGACGGCAGACATCTCCAGGAAGCTGATGGCGTTCTCCGCCAGCTGCATCGGCCGTGGATGCTGCTGCTTCCGAGCGACCCTCAGCGTGATGGAGCGCTGAACTGCCACTGGCTGCCCCTGGCGCGGCCGCGGCCGCCTCCCCGAAGACTTCGCCGTGGAAGAAGCCATGCCGAGACGGGCCGTCCGCTACATCCAACTCAGAGGGCAGCCGCCGCACATAGCATCGGAAATTGACTGCAAGAGCGAGGGCAGCAACTTTCCGCAAAGGTCGCCGAAGGACAGGCTTGCGCCCCCGCCCCTTCCCAGCGGCTAAAGCCAATGGCAAATTGTCGACGAGGAAGCGATGACGACGATGGTGCAAGCTGACGTTACGGGACGCGTGGCGAACGGCGTCGTGCAACGCCTCCCCCTCGAGCTCCAAGATGTTCCTGATGGGATCCCAGTGCCTCCTCGAGATGACCGTGGCCCAAGCTGAGGCCTCCATGATCTCCTTGGGGACCTCCAGAAAGCCCTTGACGGAGCCCTCGGGGTTGAACGATTCGATGTAGTCCGCGGCGACGGAGTCCAAGATGCCCTCCTCCAGGTGGAGCTCATCCAGCCCCAATGCGTTAGCCCTTGCTGTAACTGCTGCCGTGCACCTGTACCTCCACCTCTCCGTAACCCTCCCCATCTCGGCCATCTGGGGCCAGTCCAGATCACGAGTGCAGACGCCGACACCAATAGGAGACGCGTCCGAGGCGGAGACCCGTGAACCCCAAGGAATACCCAAATGCGAAGACCACAGAGGCAGCGTACTAGCAACGCACCAGAGCTCAAACCTTACCGAGTTCCACAAAGGCCTGACGTTGGGGTCCTTGAGGGACTTGAAAGCGTAGACGGAGTGCAGAATAGACAAGGTCTCTCTTTTACAACTCATCGCCCACGTGATGTGCCCGAGCAAGACTTCCAGCAGTCGGGGCGAGGCCGCCCCTCGCCGCAGGACAGCCAGAATCGCCTGCCGCAGGCGCAAGACGTTGGAGGGCTTCACCCGCGCAGTGCCCTTTTCACCGTCGATCTCGAGACCAGTGAAGACAGTCTTCGGCGAAGCCGCATCGATGGAGTGAATGGGTAACCCCCGCGATTCAAGCGTCCGCGTAATCTGATCTCTTTGCCGTTGCAATGCTTGCATCACAACCCACGACTGCAAAATTATCAGCGCATCCAGCAGCAGCTAAACTCACAGGCGAGTGCAGCACAGGACTGGGGCGGCCGTCCTCGATCAACGATCCGTCACTGAACCCGTTCTCCACTAGAGCCCTGCGCATGATGCTCTGACAAAACAGCAGCGACCAACTCCATCCCATCGGCAACACGCGCACCATGGGCTGAAGATAGCAGTCGCTAGCCACTGGCAATCCGTCGACGTGGGTAATCCCCAACAACTGATTTGAAATAGTGGGCAGCGTGAAGCATTCCTCCATCCCCTTTGGCACCAGCATGTGATAGAATGCGCATTGGATGTCACCCTGCGCTAGAACGACGGGACTCCCGGGACGCTGCGACTCCAAGGCGGACCACGCAGCAGCCGTCGGAAGCGTCGGCTTGGGCAGGGGCTCGAAATCCTCGTTCGCCACCCTCGTGTCGAACACGAGTCTCAACGTGCCCTTACCCACCTTCTCAACAAAGAAAAATCACAAACTATAAGGATCAGCAGCACGCGCCACGCGGAAGCAAATCATACCACCCTGAAGCAACTCCCCAACGAAGCCAGCGTAGGCGCGAGGGCTGTTGGCCAAAATCGGGCCCACGCACGGGCGCCGCGGAGCTGGCGCATCTCGGGAATCAGAAGCCGACATCTCACCTTTGAGCATGGTCCGTCTCCATCCCAACAAGCATTCACGATCGGCCTGATCCACCAACTCTGTGACCTCCACAGGCGCGGTAGACATGTCGGGCCAGGACACCAGGTCCTTGCTGTAGGGCTTGACGCGCTGAGACTCCGCGGAATACCCAGGCGCCGAAGCGAGCAGCTCTGCAAGGGCTGCTTCGCCTGAAACTCGGTCCTCATGATAGTCAGGAGGCACAGGAAAATCGCGAAAGGCCTGGCTGATGTGGTCCAGCGCGCTCGCCTGGGCAGCTGATGACGTCAGCCCTGGCGGCGCCGCCACACCTGCACCGTGGCCACTCAGCTGGTTGAGCGCCGCGATGCCGTCGTTAGCCTAACGCTTCCACGCGGCCCCACGCTGCGCCCGCTGCTGGCCCCGCCAGCTGCGACAGGAAGCAGCGCGCTCATCCAGCGCGAGCGGCGGCAGAGGGAACACGTCACGCTGACGCCCTGCAGGCTTCATCGCGGAGCTGCGAGGGGGCTGGCGAGCCGAGGTCCCCAGACCTCAATCAAAAACGGCGGCGGCGCTGGCCGCCCCGAAAATGCAGGGGTCGCCCAGGCGGCGCCGAGGTGCCTGCACCCGCCTGGGAGAAGCTTCCGAGGGCCTATGCGCGCGCCGCCCGCTCCTCGCGGGCTTTGCGCCTCTCCTTGGCAACAGCTGCCTCCGCCTTCAGCTGCTCTGCAATGAACTCCGTGAGCGCTGGCGAGATGCAGAGGTTGCCCTTGCTCGCCGACGCGCCCATGTAGTGCTCGGCCTCCGAAGCGAGTAGACTCTCGCTCGCCCCGAGGCCCTTCTTCTTGTCCTTCTTTTCCTCTGCCGCCACCTGCGCGGCTACCGTCTCCTCGTAGTGGCGTTCTTCGATGAGCTGAGTCTGCCGACTGACCAGCTCAAAGGCCGCCAACTCTGACGCGTTGAGCTGGTCGTAGCAGGTGGCCATCTCCAGCAGCCTGCAGTTCATCTCATGCTGCTGGCAGATGGCATCCGGGTCGCGAAGCCTCGCCTCCGCTTTCCACTTCGAGTGCCAGGCCAACGGGCCGCCCGCGTTCCGACGAATGTGCTCCAAGCACCACTGGGTCGTCCTTGGCCCCTTGATCGGCCAATCGTCCCGTGGCGTGGTAGTAGCGTCCCGCAGCGCGACTGAGTAGTCCAGCTGGCGGCGACCAGCGTGATCCGTCGCCAACGGGAAGACGCGAGGATCGGCAGCCGCCAATGGCGCCACCGCCGCGAGCGCACCAGCAGCTGCAGCGCCGCCTCCTGGGCCGCCCGCCCCAGCACCGCCACCCCCCAGGGGAGGAGGCATCGCCACGCCCAGAGCTGCAGCGAGCGCGCCTGCGCCTCCAGGAACAGCAGCGCCGCCGCCGCCTCCAGCGCCGTCGCCTGGTGCAGGCACCGCCGCGCCTCCTCCGCCAGCAGCAGCCACCACCGCGGCCGCGGCGGCCGCAGGATTGTCCAGCGCCAGCGCCTGAGGGATCCACGCGGCTCCCACTCCCGCCCCACCAGCCAGCAGAAACGGCGAGGGAGGCAGGGCGGCGCCGAGCAGCAAGGCAGCGTCTCGCAGGAAGCCCCACACCTCTGGAGCAGATGGCACGGCTCGGAAGCGATAGACGTTCGCCTCCGCGACTCCAAAGACAGGTGCGCCCAAGCCTCGCAACGGCCGAACCTCTTCGACGTCCCCGTCAACCTCAACCGATTCTACATACACATCCCCGCCCACAGTAGCAATAGCAGCACGAGACGGAGGCACATCGAACAGCGTGATCCTCTCATGGAAAACTGGCGGGCCTCCCACACGATAGCGAATCACGTGTACATTACCTGGTTGAGGCATTCTGAATTGCGGCCTGTGCTTGCTTCGCAGCTAGCAGTCGGATCTCCTCGGCCGAAGTAGCCTCCACTGGCGCGGTGCTGACGCTGGTCGAACTCCTCGAGCGCCTCCAGATGCTTCCCACCAGCCACTTGCAGCTCAAGAAAGCGGGCACCACGAACACGCCCAGCAGGATACCCAGCAAGAAGGCCACCGCGTGGCTGCACCAAACGCTGACCAGGTGCACGATGCTGGCCCCGCTGACGTCGGGACACGCAATGTTGTATCGCGGGGAGCACTCGCACGCGCACGGTGGGCAAGCGGGCGGAGCAGCAGAGGTCGCCGACCACACCACCAGGGCCTGCGATGCCCCTCGCGCGAACTCCGAGAGAAAGCGCGTGGCGGCACACTGCATGCCCCTCAAAAGCTTGAGCACAACGGTTGCGGTCGTGCGGCCCCTCAGCCCCTTCCCCAGCACACACCACATTAAAGTTGTTACAATGATGATGATGATGATGATGATGATGATGATGATGATGATGATGATGATGATGATGCTGATGATGATGCTGATGCTGATGATGATGATGATGATGATGATGATGATGATGATGATGACGATGACGATGACGAGGAGGAGGAGAAGGATGAGGATGAGGAGGAGCAGGTGGAGGATGGGGGAGGAGGGGGGGGAAGGGAAGGACACGACAGGGCTGTCGGCGGGCGGGTCGAAGCAGCAGCAGGCTGAGACTCTCAAAATCACTGAGGGGTCGGGTGACGAGGAGGCGAAGGAGGGAGACGACGATGGCGCTTGTGTTGTACGGTGATAAGCAATAAATGTGTCCCTAATCCTTTGGGAGGGGATCTAAGATAGGAGAGCCAGAAGCAGTACGGATAAAGGGGGTCTTGTATACAAATGTGTCAGACGACGCCAGCGTTATGTTCAGGGATATCCTTGAAGCAGTGGACCTAAGTTAGGCGACGAATTCATTGTGCTATAGGGTTCAGGGGGTGCGTTCTGCTTAATGAGACTGGTCCCCCCAAATAGCGGTGGTCTCCAGCATCTGGACGCAGTACGCGAGGACGTGGTCTGGTCCAGGAGGCACAGGCTTGCGCTTCCGGACCTTCGCTTCCTGGCGGAGGCGGTCGGGGAGGAGACGGGAGGAATGACGAACGAAGACCACACACCCGAACCCATGAGGGTCAGAGGGAAGAGGACTGGCTACGGGTATGGGTACGGGTTATCTGACCCTGGGGCAGGCTCCCGCTCGAACGGGGACCCCCATCCGACAACACGCACCCATAGCCCCTTCCCTCCCCCCCTGTGGGTATGGGTACGTGCTGTTCGTTCGTCGGGGAGAGAGAAGGGGGAGACGAAGGGGAAAATGGCGACGGCCACCCTCTCCGCGCCTCTCCCCCCATCCCCCTGTCCGGCCTCTCCCGCCCCTCTCGGCCCATCTGCGCACGGCACAGCCGAGCTGGAACTCAACTCCCCTGCCTCACGAGTGCGGCGCACGTGGCGCACAATTCATTTTTTCCGCGGCGCGCCAAAGCGAGTGGCGCGAGGAGACGTCCCCAGAGTTCATTTAAGTCCCAGAGTTCATTTAAGTCCCATCCCCCTCCTCCTCCTCCTCGTCCCCCTCCTCCTCCTCCTCCTCCTCCTCCTCCTCCTCCTCCTCCTCCTCCTCCTCCTCCTCCCTCCTACTCCTCTCCTCCTCCTCCTCCTCCTCCTCCTCCTCCTCCTCCTCCTCCTCCTCGTCCCCCTCCTTCCTTCCTTCATTCCTCCTCACTACTTGTTTCTCCGCCTCCTCCTTCTCCTCCTCCTCCCTCCCTTCCTCCCTTCGCCAAGAAGCCTCCATCCGCCGAGTTCGGGGTTCTCCGGGGATGCCTGCGGGCCCTTGTAGAAGCTAGCCGACGCCGATGGACACTCCTGCCGGGCCCCTCGGACCACCAGGGGGAGGCGCTGCGGCGCCCCCGCGTGAGCCACAAGAGCGACACTTGGAATACTCCGCCCCGGACCAAGGCGGAATCGACGAAGAAGCAAATCCTGCTGTGACAGAGGCGGATCCACGTCCGGGGTCGATTGGGATGGGGAGAGGGGGGGACAACGGGAGAGGAAGGGACGTGAGAGGGGGGGACGGAGAAACGGATGAAAGAGGAGAAGGGCAGGAGGAGGACAACGACGACGAAAGAGACGGGGGGAGGGGCGACGCCGACTGCGACGACCCGGCGCGGGGAGTGGGTCCATTGAAAGCCGTCGCTCCGACTTGTCCGCGGTACTGGTTTGATCTATCAAGAACCTCAAGGTGCATCCACCCGTGGCGACGCGAGCGCCCCGGGAGGTCCCAGGAAGAATGGAACGCGCAGCGACGAAACGCTCCCCAACCTTCTCGCCCGACCCTCGAGCCTCGTCGCCCACCGACCCCGGGGGCCGCGACGACGACCACGAGCCTGCAGCCGGGCACGGTCGCCGCCGCCCCGCCCGTCGCCGCCGCCCCCGCCGCCGCCGCTCTCCCCCGCCGCCCACGCCGCCCACGCGCCCTTCGCCCCGCCCCTCGCCCCGCCCGCCCCCGATGGGCAGCGCGGGGTCCTCCCGCCACCGGCGCGGCAGGCTCTGCTGGCTCTCCTGGGCCTGCCGCGCGGCGCTGGCCACCTCCCGGGGTGCGGACGGGAGGTGGGGGGCGGGAAGCACGTCGTCGCCGTCGTTATCCACGACCCCCTCCTCGCTCTCCTGCTTCTCTTCTCCCCCTCCCCTCCTCCCCCCCTGCCCTTCCTTCCTCCTCCTCCTCCTCCTCCTCCCTCCTCCTCCTCCCTCCTCTCCTCCTCCTCCTCCTCCTCCTCCCCTCCTCCTTCCCCTCCTCCTCCTCCTCCTCCTCCTCCTCCTCCTCCTCCTCCTCCTCCTCCTCCTCCTCCTCCTCCTCCTCCTCCTCCTCCTCCTCCTCCTCCTGTTGCCTGTTGGCCGGAGTGTCGCGACGACGCGTGACGCAACCCTCCCCTCCCCAGGGCTGGTCGGCCCTTGGGGGCTGATAAAACTAGGCAGCCTGGTGGCGGTTGTCACCAGCTGTGGGGAGAATGCGTAGCACCCTGCAGATGCGGATAAGAGCGAGGGGACGGTGGGGACGTCGGCAATCTGCGAGACTCCGGAGAAGCCCGCCGCACGCGCCAAAGTTCCACAAATTATACCACGAGCCCGCCGCAAGCGCCGATTTTTTGGTAAACCAATGTGGGTCGGTCGTGGGTGGGTCGCAAATGGGTCGCGGGTGGGTCGCTGTTGGGTCGCGGGTGTAGAAGGCAGAAACTCCACCCCGTAATAATCACCCCGACAATCGAAGCCGGTTAGTAAACGCACACAAGGAACGAATCGAACAGGGCATGGCAAGGCTGTTCAGTCAACGCCCAAGGCCGTTTAGTAAACGTCAATTGTCGGGTCCGGTTGTTTTTTCTTTCCTTGAGGGTGAGTCGCGGGGTGGGTCGTCGGTGGGCCGCGGGGTGGGTCGCGGGTGGGTCGCGGATGGGTCGAAAGGGTGGGTCGCGGGTGGGTCGCGGGGTGGGTCGCGGGGTGGGTCGAGGGAGGGTCGCGGGGTGGGTCGCGGGGTGGGTCGCAGATGTCGCGGGTGGGACGACGACAACAACAACGCAACAAACAGAACTCTCACCACGAGTTCCTTGTTCAGCCACGCACGCACGGACAGTGCATGACCGTTCGGCCCCCTCACTCTGATGATGTAAGGGTGACAAACAAAGAGGGGGGAGAGGAAGACGAGAAACATGCGTCCATCAGCAAAGCCCGAAGGGGAAGAGGCGTGGAGCGGGGGGGTGCGTGGCGGCAGCTGAGAGTGTGGCGGCGTGGCACTGCACGAAAAGGCGGGCGTCCGCCCTCGGGCCGCGTGCTCCTGTGGCCGAGCCGGGCCCACCCTCCTGCGAGTCACCTGGCCCTGCTTGGCGAGCTCTGTAGAGGATGCCCAGGGCCCCCCTCCTTGGAGGTATCCTGTTGGACAAGGTTGGGCCGCTTGTGAGGCGGCCGCAGGCGGTGGAGGGTTCGAAGGCGCGGGGCCGAGCCAGGGGGTAGGAGAGGCTGTGAAAAGTGGCGGCAAAACGCGTTTTGGCAAGTGGCGGGATTGGGCCGGGAGGCTAGAGAGGCCGAAGGCGGTGAAGGTGGCGGCGTGCGCAGTGGGAAGATCATTCCGCGGGACCCCGCCTGTGCCCTCCCCATAGGATGCCAGCACGTAGTCCAGCGCGTCCATGGTGATGGGCGGGAGGTCATGCCAGGCGCCCCCTGCATCGCTCGCCCAGAGCCGTGGGTCTGAGTCCCCTTTGCTTGTCAATGTGGACCCAGAGGTTCCCCCCCCATTCCTTCCACAGCACCTTCATGGCGGCATCACCTGCCACTGGGAGGCCAGGGTCGCTCTCGTCGTCCTCGTGCGCGATCACCGTCGACGGGATCAGGCTGCCGTCCTTGATGAAGCGGCATGCCTCCTGGCCTCCTGACTTAGTGGCTGCTTCTTGTGCCCACTCTCTCCAGTCCTCGCTGCGCCTGGCCTTGTCCCTCCTCTGGATCGAGGCTACGTGGTCGTGGAGGTCGACCAGGAGGGCGTGGTAGTCGTGCAAGTCCAGCTCCTGGAATGCGTGCGCAATGGCATGCTGGCCCCAGGCAGCGAGCGGCCCAGACGTCGGCCACTCCGCCTCGTCGAACACGAACGCTCGCACTAGGCGGACCTGGCGCTCTAAGCGGGAGTACCCGACCCAGCCGTTGTCCAACTGGTGCCCAGGGAGAGTGGCCGCCTTCCTGCAAGACGCCAGCAGGCCAGCCCACTTGCGGCACTCGGCGCTTGACGTCTCCTACAGCGTGTCCTCCCACTCCTGGACCAGGGGAACAGTCTCCACCTGTAGGCCTCTGTCTCTGGCCACTCTGCACCGCCTGTGATCTTCCAGCTGGTGAAGCCTGTCAAGGTAGTCCTCTATCATGGCAAATCAGAACTTAAAGGCTTCCTCAACATCAGTGGGTCCAGCCCTTAAGAGCCACGGCCATTCATCTACAGCTAGCTCGGGCGGCGCTGCCTGCGCAGGAGGTGGCAGGGCCAGCGGGTGCCGACTGGGGTAGAACGCCCTGGTGACCGTGGCCCTCTGGCGCAGGCCCTTCAGCTCGATGGCGGTGAGCAAGCGCGGCGAGATCGGGGCGTCACTCAGCACCTTGACCGCGCCGGCCCGACTGGCAAGGGCCCCGGGCGCTATGGCGTAGTCGTACTCGCGCCTGCCGCAAGTTGGACTCCACGGACGCACTAGAACTCCTGAGGCCTGCTTGACCCAGCTGGCCAAGTCGTCGGGCTCAAGGTTCCAGTCCGCCAGGATGACCCACGGCCACTCGAGGCTGCCGGCCCAGGACTGCAGAGCCTCAAGCAGCGCAATGTTGTCGCCCGTGGCCCCGATGCCGTCCACCATGTAGGCCGAGACGAAGAAGATCGGGAAGCCCAGGCCCGCGTTGAGCTTCGCGGCTCCTGCCCGATGGGGCCCAAACGCACTGCGCTCCTTGGGCTTATCCGCGCTGGCCGCCGCCATTGCAGCGGGGGCCGCCACTCTTCCAGAGCTGCCAAAGGGCCCTGGGCCCGTGTCCTGCGCGAGACCTCCGAAGAAGTCGAAGCAAGCGCGTCTGGCCCAGGTCGCCGCCGACTCCAGCTTAGCGCCATGCTTGATGCGGTGCTCGTGTAAGCGGACAACATCGAACGTCATCTTCTTGTCCCTGCTCCACTCCCACAAGGCCTGACCGCTTGCCCAAGAGTTGGGGTTGGCCGACACAATCAAGAACTTGTCGGGCGCCTTGTCCACATCGACGCACTTCTGACCGCCTGCGCCGGGGGGAGGGGGAACTCCCGCACCTCGAGCTGCACTGCCCCTCGACCTACCGACAGACGGTCGCCGAGCACCAGTATCCAGCCCACCTCGCCGAGGCCCAGCTCCGCTGCAGACCTGGGGCCCCGGCTTCCCCGCGCCCTCCTCCGAAGCGGACGCGACCCTGCCAGGCCTGCCTCTCGCACTCGACGCCCCCGACGGCGACCTGGCAGGCGCCGCGGCAGCGGCGCAGCGGGCGGCGCCAGCAGCACGCCTGCCAGGCACAGAGCCGAACTCCTCCTCCGCCTCGGTCATGGAGCGCTCGCGCCGCGCCACCTGATCCCTCCGCTCCCGCGCGTCGGACTGGGCCAGCCGGCGCATGTTGGCGTGGTAGTTGGCTAGCGCGCGCCTCCGCGCGGCCCGCGCCTCCTCGCAGAAGTCCTGCGCCATCCTGACTCTGACCGCGCCCGCGTCGTCGACGCCTGCCGACCGAGCAGCCTCGGTCGGCCACGCGGGACACGCACAAGCGCAGCCAGTGCGCTCTATCTCTAGCTTCGTCAAGCGCGGAGACGTCCTGGCGCCAGAACGTGGTGCAGGCCCTCAGCCTCCTCTCGGGAGTCACGGGCGCCGACGCAGCCGCTCGCGTCGCAGGGTCCTGATCCTTGGCCTCCATGAAGCCTCCAGCGACTCCACGACCCGCAGTAGCTCCTTGAGAGCTAGGCCTGCCTTCATGTGGCGACTTCTGCCGTCCCTCCGCCGATTCCCGCTCACAGGGTCCCTCGCGCGGGTCCAGGGGCTCGAGCGCTCCCAAGCCATGCGCAGGTTCCGTCTGCGAACGGGTCTCCAGCTCCTCAGGTCCTCAGGGGCAGTGAGTGCGCCGCTCGACGCGGAAGCCGAAGTACACGACCCCATATGAGATCTCCCTGTGCCATTGCCCTCTTCGTTGGCTCTCCTAGCCTGGGGGGTGGCAACCTTGAGTGCTCCGCGTCGCCCCATGTCGGAGGAGAAGCACCTGTCTGGGCGGCGCGCAGGGATGAGGTACCCCAGCTCAGGCCACTCCAAGTCGCACTCGTTGGACCCCCAGAACTTCTCGAAATCCGCCAGGCCCTGGCGCAGGACTTCCTGTCCGTGGTCAAACACGCTGCCGTTTGGCTGCCAGCGCTTGCGCGTCCAGCAACTTGGGGGCCACCCGCTTGAGCTTGTCGACGTCCTCAGGCTTGTCCAGATCGAAGGCTGGGCGGGGGCCTCCCAGCTTCTCCACCTCAGCGGCCGCCTGGTCGGCCAGCTCCTGGCCCACCTAGAAGCTGGGCGCCTCCACTTCCACGCCTCCGGCGGCTGCGCCTCCGCTTTCAGGGGCCCCAGGGCCATCGGCAGCAGGAGTGCCACCACCGCTGGGGGCCTCCTTGGCTGCGGCTGCAGCCCGTTCAGCGACCGGGAACTTCTCCTTGGTCTTGGCGGCGACGGCACGGGCGTCCGCGAGGCTCTCCTTGCCGCCCTGCTTGTCCTCGTTCTGGCCGAGGGCGTCGCGGAGCAGCGCCAGCTGGTCGAGGAGAGCGACCGTGTCTCCCCTGGTGCACGCGGCAGCCTCAACACACTTGGTCTTCTCGATCGCCTCCAGCTCCGCCAGCTTGGCCTCGTGATCGCGGAGCTGCCGCAGCTCCGCGTCATAGACCTCCTGCGCGGCCGCCAGCTGCTGGGCTCGCTCCTCCACGCGTACCTTGGCTTCCTCCACCTGTTTGTTCTTGTCCGCCTTCCTCTGGAGCACCTGGGCCAGCGGCTTCAAGGCGTTGTCGGCCATCTCCTGCTTGGGTGGAGCGGTGGCGACCACTGAGAGCTGGCTTTCGGCGAGGCCGTCCTTGCCAGCCGCCGCCAGCGCCTTGTTGGCCTCCAGCAGCTCGGCGACACTGAGGCCCGCAACCTTCGCCTCACTGCCGTTGCCCCCGTCGCCCTTGCCGCCGAAGTGGGACGACCAGTTCTTGGCTTTGTCCCACTGGGCACCGCGAGCTTGAGCCTTCGGCTTGGCCTTGGCCTTGCCTTGGGGCTTGGCGGTTCCTGCAGCGCCTCCTCCTCCATCGCGCCACGGAGCTGCTCCGAGGTTGAGGGGCTGGCATGACTAGAGGGCGGCGAGGATGCTGGGCGGCGCCTTGGCTCCGCACGCTCTGCACTCCACCCTGCTGTTGTAGTTCGGGCAACCGCCGCACTTGCCCATGCATTTCCACTGCACCGTCGCTGAGGCTCGGATCCCAGGCGCATCGCGGCGCGATGCCATGGGCCAACGAAGCTCGTCTCCGTATCAGTTGGCTCGCAAGCACGAGCCGTTCTGAAGTGCGCGCTTGCAAGTTCAGGGCCAAATGCCTGAGCCAGAACGGCTAGGAGGATGAGGGGGAGAAGGGGGAGGAGGAGGAGGAGGAGGAGGTGGCGGAGGAGGAGGAGGAGGACGAGGGGGAGAAGGAGGAGGAGGAGGAGGCGGAGGAGGAGGAGGATGAGGGGGGGAGGAGGAGGAGGGAGGAGGAGGAGGAGGAGGAGGAGGAGGAGGAGGAGGAGGAGGAGGACGAGGACGATCTGCGTGCGGGGGGAAAGAAAGGGAGGGAGGGAGGGGAACTGGGTCGGCAGTCGCGCCGTCGGAAGTCGTGAGCGGCATGGTCGACGTGTGGCCGTGGCCTTCGCTGCTGCCGTGGCCGCGGCAGGGTCAGGGAGTTGTCGCTAAAACTGTGGTACATCGGGCAGCCGCGGTGGTTGCGAACGGGGTCGTTGGTGGCGACTGCAAGGTCTGGGCAACTCCCCTTCCGCTTACGCCGTCTGAGCCGGCTCCTTCGTTCCTAGGGGGCGCCGCCGTCTGTCCTGCTGCGGGGCCCGCTCAGGATCTCCAGACCTGCCTGGCCGTTCCCTCAGGGAAGTGGTCGCTTCGTACTCGTTGCAAAAAACCCTTGCCGTCTTTGCCAGCATCTTCGGGGCAACGACCTCCAAGCGTTGAAGCTCTGGCCGTACCCACGCTCCACACTGCCCACAAACCACAACCATCGGTGCAGCTGGAAGTCGTGCGAGGGGTCGAAAGGCGTGGGGCGGCCAGGGCAAACCGTGTTAAACCAGGAGAGTTAGTCCCGATTGATCCCGTCTTGTACCTGGGAACTGTCAACAGGCCCTGCACCTACTAGTACCATCGCTTGCAGGATGCTGGGTGCTCTGCCTGATTGCAGTCTGTGCCTGCGCCGCTGCACGAGACGCCTTCCTACGCTCTGGTCGCCAAGCTTCTCGCGGCACGCTCGCACACAGCTCCGTGTTCTGCGTTACGACGTGCATGCCTACATGCAGCACTAACTTTTGAACCTTCCAAGCCTCCACATCGGCAGCCCGGATCGTGTGCTGGGCAGCAAGAGGTAGCTGGGTTCTCTGCTCCCAGTCTTTTGCCGCCTCGTCCGCGGGAGCGTTCGAACGGTTCTTCAGGAAACCTGCTGCAGCGGGTCACATTTGGTGCGCGTGTCGGCGAGGTGTCATTCAAGGTCCCCACGCGCTCCGCTATCCTATTCCGCAGCCTTCGCCATAGGTCTGCATGCGACAGGTTGCCAGCTGCAGGGCGTTTGAAGAACTTGTTTGGCCACGTTCATGGAGTCCACAAAAATGAATTCAGTCCCTGCAGCGCATTCCATTCTGCCACGCGCACAAGTGCCATCAGCTCTCCTCGCGGCACTCTCTGCTTCCATCCTGCAAGGCTGCCTGAGGAAGACACGCAGATCTGGTGCTCCTAGCTGGCGAACCCGCCAGTGCCCACACACGCTGGAGACAGACATCTGCAGGGAACTCGCCTCCCGACGCGTCTGTCGATCCCGTGAAGGTGCGGCATGGGTCGACCAGGCAGAAGTCAAGAACCTCGCAGTCCTGAAACCTACCTTGCCTCTAAACACATTCCTGCGCTGGATGCGCGCTCGCCTCTCCCAAGGTCCCCCGGGCTGCGTCCAGTAGGTCGTCCCGTGGAGACCCACCCTCAACATCCCCGCTACACCGACGCACCCAGAAACGGTGTATGGCACCGCGGGCATAGTTGTTGATCCCCGATTGTTTCGGGAGCCGCCGAAATCTGGGCCATTTGGCGATCCTCTGACATAACTTCCTAAACAGCGACGTCACCGTCCTGGCGTTTCCACGTAGCAAGCGCAAGCGTAACGTAATCACGGTGTAACCGGAGCCCTGGTCAAGTCCTCCTCCTGCCTCGTGCTGCGCTCTTTCCTAACGCCTGCACGTTGACCTTCACTCTCTGCAGCTGCGCGTCCACCCCTTCGAGCTGGTACTCTTCGTCACAGTCGTCTCTCTATAACTGTGGATGCTCTCGGGCTTCCAGTCCAGATCCCTCAAGGACTGAAGAACAGCTCCGATGGGGCCGATGAGGACACTCCAAGGATGGCGCGCTGCATCCAGTTCGGCCTTCCAGACAGCCTATACCTTCTCAACTGCTGCCTCCTGCTCCCGCAGGGCTGGCAAGACTGATCCCAACATCTTGAACAGCTCCATTCGGAGGAATGCCAGCGGGTCGGCCAAATGCGAACACGCCAATCTGAACGATGTGCTGGGGATCCTCTTCCTCTTTCACGTCTCACCCTCCCGTCTCCCCACCACCTCACCACTCGTCTCCCCTCAGGGGAAGGAAGGATAGAGGGAGGGAGGGAGGGTGAGCGAGAGGGCATTCGAGGAAGGAGGATCATACCAAGTTTGGACCTCCTCAAATCTCGGCTGGCTGCGAAGGCTAGTGGGTGGACCTAGAAGCGACGGCTTGGTTCTGTGACCGCGCGAGACCCGCGCGAACACACGCCTGAGCACCTTGCCACCGTTCTATTGACTGCGCGGTTGGTCAGGAGATTGCGCATGGTGCTCTCCTGCCCCCGGAAGAATCATTCTCCGCGTCCTTCTCAAATTACGCCACCTCGTCCTTGCTAGGTTCCCGTGCCTGTACATGCTCATGATCTTACCCATCCTTGTGATGTGCCTCCTCCTCCTCCTCCTGCTCCTCCTGCCCCGCCATGGAAGATATCATGGCGCGCGCTGCGTTTCTTGGCGGAGTGTGCGCCCGTGTTCCTACGGCCGGTTGCTCACGTTTCCTCAGGGTGTCCTCCTCTTCCTCCACCTCCTCCTCATCCTCCTTCTCCTCTTCGTAGTTATCCTGCTCCTTGTCCTCCTCCTCCTCGGCCTCCTCCTCCTCCTCCTTCTGCTCCTTCTTCTCCTTCTCCTCCTCCTAATCCTCCTCCTCCTTGTCCTCCTCCTCCCCCTCTTCCCACGAAGACGTGATCCGTGCGTGTCGCTGTGCGCCTCATCTTGAGCCGGGCCGTGAAGAGGGCGTACGCAACAGAAGGGCGGTGGACACGGAGGAGAAAGCAGTGCAGAGTCATCGAAACATTGCGTAAGGAGGTAATGAAAGCAAGGACTCAAAACTAATGACGAGGAGGAGAGGAAAAAGGAGGAGGGAAGGGAGGGGGAAGGGGGAGAGATAGCATGCAAGATGGAGAAATAGGAACGCTACACGCTTATTCAATGCCAGATGGACCAAGCTCCAGTGTCTGCCGAATCAGACTCCATGAGCTGCTGCGCTACTAGAGAGCGCTGCTCTACCAATCCGCACGGACTGGCAGCTGGCACATCGCCAGACCCTTGACAGGCTGGCTGAAGGAGGCAGAAGGAGTCTGCAAGTCGAACGCCTCACGTCTACTGTACTACCTCGGCTGACATTTGAGCCAAGGGAATCTGCCTCCACGGCTGGCGGCGGCTGCGCAATGGATGCTGGAAGCTCTGTGCAGCCAATGCGACGAACAAGAAACTGCTGGCCGAAGAAACCTGGGCCAACTGTCGGGCAACCTCTTGGGCAAAAACGCGAAGGCGGCCATGCGCGCACAGCTCTGCGGCTTGTTGGCCCGCAAGGGGCGAAGAACTTGGGCCAGCTTCCTGGAGGCTGCCGAAGACATTCTGGCCCAAGGCAAAGCGGGGAGGCCTATCAATTGTCGGGCCCCCTGTAGCGCACCACTCTCCACGAAGTGCACATTCCGCCACGGTGCCTTCGCGCTCTGAGGCGTGGCAGACTACCTGTAATGATCGAAGGGGCCCCCCCTCTACTAGCGCGTCGCCGCGTGCATCGCTCCCCTCGTCCCGAAGTGTTCTGGGCTGGCAGACGGCTGCCTGGCGCTCTCCAAGGCGCACAAGATGCCCACGATGGCTTCCAGTAACAGCCCAGGCGAGCTACCAATGCCGCCAAGGTGGTCCACGATTCCTCCATGATGGCCGATGATGGCCCCTGATATGGCCTCGAGACGGCCCAAGAGGCCTCCAAAACGGCCCAAGAGAACCTCCAGTAAGGCCCAAGACCATTGAGTTCGCCTACTTGTTGCTAGGTTTTGAGTCCAGGACAGACCCAAGAGGGCCACAAGCTGGCCCAAAAGGGCCTCCCGAGGGACCTACGACGCCTTCAGAGGACCCTTGGACGGCCCAAAACGGCCCCAGGACAGCCCCAAGAAAATCCCTGGACGACCAGGGAGGTCCAAAGAGAGCCCCAGGACGGTCCAAGGTGGCCCCAAGAGGGCACCAAGACTACCGACTGCCACCCATGAGCCCAAAGAACAGCCCCAAGACAGCACCCAAACGGGATCAATGAGGGCTCCGCCAGAAGTGAAAACGAAAGGTGACGCACGTGACGGCTCTCCTCTTATTCATCATCATCCTCCTCATCACCATCACCACGGTCATCATCAGCACCATCACCACCACGGCCACCACCGTCATCATCATCATCATCATCATCATCATCATCATCATCATCATCATCATCATCATCATCATCATCCCCATCATCATCATCATTATTATCATCATCATCATCATCATCATCGCCACATCATCATGATCATCATCATCATCAGCATCAGCATCATCATCATCGTCATCATCAGCAACATCTTCAATACCACCACGACCATCATCACCACCACGGCCATCACAACCTCTTCTCCTCCTCATCATCACCACCATCCACGTCATCGTCCTCCCTGTTATCGTCATCGCCGCCATCACCAAAAAGGCCATCAGCATCATCACCACCATCATTATCATAGTCATCATGATATGTATGCCCCTCGCCCGCCACAATCACCCTCTTTCTCAGATCTTCAACCTTCCCATCCCATCCCATCATCATCATCATCATCATCATCATCATCATCATCATCATCATCATCATCATCATCATCATCATCATCATCGTCATCATCATCATCATGTTCATCATGATCATCATCATCATCATCATCATCATCATCAGCATCATCATCCTCATCCTCATCATCATCACCCCTACCATCCCCATACTCTCCATCATCATCCTCATCGACTCAAACACCTGTCACTGATGATGATAGGCTGGCACGGTGGCTGGACTTGCCGCAGGCAGCTGGACCACAGTATTGGCTTGAGCAAGTGCGCATTCGCGCAAGAGCGTTCCAGCGCGCCGTGCGTATGAGCACGCCACGTTCCCCTCTTCAAGCGCTAACAGAACTACGCGCCTTTAACGGCAGCACTTTCAGCCTTGAGCGACTTGGAGCTGCATCGGTGGGATTCTTCACGGTGCCTCGACCGCGCGCGAGAGCTCGAAGTAAGGCGTGCCGGTCTGAAGCTGGTGGTACGTCAGCGTGTAGCCCGGGTTCCGCGCCGTCCACGCAACGCAGAAAGCAGAGCGCTTGCCCGCGAGGCCGGCCGCGCCTTTCAGGGTCCTGGAGCGCACAAGCCACGTCGCCGAGGGCACGAGGCAGAACAGCAGCAGTACGAGTCCCATGATCGCGAGCGGGGCTGCGTTCTCGGAGCCGCCGCCCGTCGAGCCCGGGTGTGCATGGCGGCGATGGGAGACCCAGAGGAAGCAGCCAGCGAACATCGCCAAGAGGACGATCGGAGCAGGACGAGTCGAGACAAGGGCAGCTCTAAATCGGTCCGCGGACCCCAGCCTTTCGAGCTGTGTCCAGACATGGCGAAGGACAACGATTGTTGTCTCAGTTGGCTCTCATCTGACCCTGAGATCCGACGTTGAAAGTGCAACATGGAAAAACAACAAAAACGACCGGCGCCCTGGACCCCATCTTTTTGCTGCTTTTCTTCGACCCAGATCGACTTGTGAGGTCCTGGGGCTCGAATCTGGGTGAAAAAAACCCGCTGTGAAACGCACATCACGCCAGGTGTAAAAAAGCTGCTCGGCTGCGCGCCGGGGGGGAAGTGAGAGGGGGGGCAAGCCTTTCCAGACGGCGGCGGGCCTTCTCAGAAGCCCTCCCGCCTCCTGAGAGGTGCTCGGCGAGTTCGTCGTCCCGAACCGTCCCTCGACGGCTCCGAGGCCAGGTCAGGGCCCTCAGAGGCCGAGAACAGCGGAAGGCCTCCCGTCGCCACTCCCCCGCGACTCGAGGGGGCCTCGGCCCTCCGCCGACTTGCCACGACCACTGCCTCGGCTCGCCCTCCTCCCGAGCTGAGCGCGGCGCACGCGGCGGCGGCGCGGAGCCGCGGGGTCGGGCCCGCCGCGCCGGCGGGCGCACTCGCCGCCGGCTGGGCCGCCAGGTTGGTGAGCTCCCGCAGGAGAGCCCCGACCGTCTCGGTCCGCAGCCAGGCGGCGTTCTGGCCCACCACGAAGCCGAGGTCGCCTTCGGGGCCCCAGGGCCGTGCCCGGACATCCGGCGGTTCGAAGAAGCGAGACGGCGGTTTTGCATAGTTGTCGGCCTCGGGAGGCGGAATAAGTGGAGGCGGACCCGAGTTCTCCAAGAGGCCTAAGAAGAGGCGCCAAGAGGCCCCAAACGGCCCCACCGAGGCTCCAAGAGGCCACGAACGCGCAAGCAAACGCCTGCGATGGCAGGCACAATAGGGGCCGGCGGAATGAGCGAAGCGATTAAATAAGTGGAGGAGGAGGAGGAGGAGGAGGAGGAGGAGGAGGAGGAGGGAGGAGGAGGAGGAGGAGGAGGAGGAGGAGGAGGAGGAGGAGGAGGAGTGGAGAAGGAAGTGGAGGAGGAGGAGGAGGAGGAGGAGGAGGAGGAGCAAGGGAGCCTGGGTGGGGGGGGCGGAGGAGGAAGGGTGGAAAAAGGAGGAACCAGGAGCAGGGCAGAGGAGGATGGGCGAGGCAGACGTCCCGAGCCCGGGGGCCCTTGCCGAGCCAACTGACCGTCAACCAAAAACTCGGGATGAAAAACCGGTCCCGCGAAGGTGGTCGAGAGGTCGGGGGCCCGCGTCTCGAACAAAAACGAGACGCTGGACGTCTGGACGTGGTGGCGAACTGCGTGGTGGCCTCGGACTCCTCAACGAACTCACCACGCGGGCCGTCACCGCACGTTTCTGCGACCTCGGATGCTCCACTCGCTCGAGACATGCTCGGAGAACGCCCCGAACCCAAAAAAATCGCGCGGTGATCCAGAATCCCCACTGACTCACCAGGCGCTATATTCACAACACCGTTTGGGACCTCCGACGCATGCTGGTGTTCGTGTCATAATTCGGGCCCCAGGCGG